ACGTTGAACAAAAGGGCGTTTAACATGCTCCGGCTTCACAAGGGGAACTCCATGAACACTGGCTAACGAAACACAGCTTTCCGGGATCGCGGCGTCGGCTCTGACAAGAACCGTGGAAGGGGATCTGGCGGTGAGTGGAATACCATTGGTTCGCACGCACATGTACTGATTTGTTATAGAGCCTACTGGTGCTTCAACTCGCGGCCGCGGCCGTGGTCGCGGTGGACGCGCAGGAGGCCGCGGTGGTGCTGCTCGTGCCGAGGGTGACCGTCATAGCAGGACTGGCATCGCGTATGAACGACCCCACACTATATCTTGATACCATCTAACAATTTTCAGCGACCACGACAAGCAGGCCGCACACGGCTGGGGCGGAAACGACGGCAACGCTGAGCTCGCTGACGAGCAGGCTGGCGAGGCCATTGCCCAGGCCGAAGAGAAGGACGCCATCAAGGAGGACGCTGAGGACGCCGCCGAGGCCGAGCCTGAGGACAAGAGCAAGTCCTACACCGCCTACCTCGCCGAGTTGGCGGAGAGGAAGCTCTCTCTTGCCGCCCAGAACGTCCGCAAGGCCAACGAGGGCAGCAGCAAGAAGTTCCCTGAGGGCACTGCCCTCGCCCGTGAGGAGCAAGAAGACTTCATGGCCGGTTCCCAGGGCAAGGCCAAGCGCGAGCGCGCCCGCAAGGAGAAGGTCCACGTTGAGCTCGACGGTGACCGTATGCTTGCTCCCCCTCCCCGCGAGGGCGGTGCCCGTGGAGGACGCGGCCGTGGCCGTGGCGAGTTCCGCGGCGAGGGTCGTGGCCGCGGTGGTGAGTCCCGTGGCGAGGGACGTGGTCGCGGCGAAGGTCGTGGCGAATTCCGCGGACGTGGACGTGGTGGTGAGGGACGTGGACGTGGCGAAGGCCGTGGTCGTGGAGGCCGCGGTGGTGCCCCGTCCAGCATCAACATCACCGATTCCAGCGCCTTCCCCAGCCTGGGCGCATAGACTGCGTCAACACTGGTCGCTGCCTGAAAACAGGGTGTACCTGCATCCCACAATCAAGTGCGGATGAAATGAACGAATGAACAACAGCTATCTCACGATGGGACGAGCGAACGGAGAGCTAAATCACGATATCAAGGAGTCTCTAATTGAGATGTCTGCGGGCTAAAATACTTACATCTACCGGTACCACGAATGTAGTGAACTTGAGCTCGGCCTTTGCAAGTGTTTTGATTCCCCGCTTGGTCTTCTTATGTGGTGCGGTAGCACGTTTCTATGAATAAGAATCAAAAAATTGTATCTGATGACTTCTAGTCCATTGCAACTATCAAGGTCTTACACGATCTTTATCGAGACGGATATCCGTGTGTCTAACAACAATTATGAAGTGTGAAGAGGCCTTTCAGATGGATGTGCTGACATGCGAAGATATGTAAAGGAGCGCAACCATGGCTTACCTGGACATGATGAGCACCGTATTAATGAGCGCTGTTGTCAGGACACCATAGTTGTAAACCGAGGGAAGCACCACGGGACCTCAAGCTCCTGTCGCATAAAATGTGCCTTGTGACATTGGAAATCCTACAACAACCACTGGTAGCGGACAAACTGTTTGTACTACCGTAAGGTTCGTCTTTGATGCCTGCGCACAGTGTTCTGCCTAGCACTTCAGCCTTCTTCTTTGCATGCGTCATCGTTCCAGGTGTCAGTCAGGCCACCACTCCACAAACATCGCGCGTCAACGGCGCAGCCTCATCGCCAAACTTCCGTCTATTCGCCCCAGCGGTCGCGCAACTGGATGTAGTGCCCTGCATCACCTGCAGAGCACAGCCAAGGCGGCCCCGGGGATAGGTAGATAAGGCGTTACGCGCCAGGAACCATTTTCGGGAACGCGTGGGAGGCACACGGCAAATATCGCGCCATCCACACCGCACGCTCGCCCATCCCGAACCACTCCACATCAGCCTTCAACCCCATGTACATGCAAATACTTCTGCCTGTTTCCTTTTTCGAGCGGTGTTTGACACCTGCTCAGCCACTGGTTAGACCATGCGGTTCGCGCGTTGTTTCTGAGACTTGATTGGCCGATCTAGCCGTTGAAGTAAGATCTAAGGCTGAGACGCGGTCAGCCATTTGCCAAATGTAGGCTACGGCAGGACGGCTTTTGATGCATTTGTGGGACATCGATATGTCCAAAAGTTCAGCTTGTGGCTGTACATCTACTGCCTTATAACCAGGCTTTGCTATGTTTACTGGCTTACCACAACTTCACCTTTTTCCATACAACATCACTTGGATATTCCACAGGAGGTACATTCACGAGAATCACGGACTGGAGATAACCATATACAGCATTCGACAGAAGACGACTTGACTGGCTGGTCAGATGGCTTCCGCCGAGCAGCAACCGTTGTTAGATGAGAAGATTGCTCCCACACATGGACTGCAGAACGAGGATGAACATTCGCAAAACTGGATGAGACCGGCGGAGCGAAGTCTGAGCGATATACTGCGTCATGTCGTTATACTACCCCTCGTTTGCGGCCTCGCAGTTTATGGATCGTATACTCTTTGCAGGCAACACATTTTCCAGAAAACTGCATGGCTAGTGCCAGCACACGAAGGCTCGACTTCATTCAATTACACATGTCTGCCAGGCCAGACTTGTTGGCCAACCATAAACGAGTGGAATGCTTTCAACCAAAGCATCAACGGCAATCTCCGACTGACGGTACCCTGGGCCGCACCCTGCTACTCTGATCCTTCGAGCAAACAGTGCCAAGAGGTTGCAAAGAACTACGGTGATGGTGTCTCACGTACCAAACAATACGGATCCATGGAGTTTCTCGACTGGGAAAGGTGTGGTCAATCCCAATGCGCACTCAACTCTTTCAACACTTCAGCGCCCGTCTCTGGTACCTGCGCGCTAGGAAGGCTATCCGCATACCATGTAAGGGCTGAGACTGGGCGCGATATCAGCCAGACGTTGGATTTCGTTCGCAAACATGGGATTCGTGTCTCGATCAAGAATACTGGGCACGATTATTATGCGCGGTCAACAGCGTCGAATTCGTTGGCTATCTGGACTCATAACATGAAAGATACTAAGTTTCATAAATCCTTCCAGCCCACAGGTTGCAAAACCCGCTATGAGAACATCGGGGAGATTGGTGCTGGCATCCAAGCTCAGGAGGCGTGGGAGGCCTTCGAGCCTCATGGCATGCTCGTCACAGTTGGCGCAGTAGCTTCCGTTGGCATCGCAGGGGGCTACGGTCAGGGAGGTGGCCATGGACCGCTGGGGCCCAAGTATGGACTCATGATCGATCAAGCAGTTGAGTTCGACGTCGTCACTGCTGATGGCAAGCAACGCACTATCAATGAATGCAGCGACCCGGATCTCTTCTGGGCAATGCGTGGAGGCGGAGGTGGCAGCTACGCTGTGCTCACATCCTACAAGTTTCAGCTGCATCCGGCTGAGCCTATCAATGTGTACAGCTTTCAAGCTCACTTTCCGGAGCCAAAAGACATCGCCAAGTCGAAGATCCATCGCGACATCATCACCGGGCTTGCCTCCAATCAGCCCTCGTTTTCCAAGCATGGAGTTGCCGGATACAATTTTGTACTCCCAGATCATGTCGTGTTTCTTCAAGTATTGCCCTCTAGCGACACTTCAGAGATCAAGGCTATCACTTCCCAATGGCATGATTTTCTTACCAATTATCCTGGTCTAAATATCACCGAGAATGAGTATCACTCCTTCAAGAGATTTTCGCAGTACAATGAATTTACAGAGAGACCCGAGATATCTCGCAATGGGCCGGTCGGTCTAGGCTTCAATGGCGGAGGACGCTTCATCCCCAAGGATCTCTTCAATTCGACTGATAATATCGAACGACTAGTGGATGCAGTTGTAACTGCAATGCACTTCTCTCGCACCAACCATGGCGGTGGAGGCGCTCAGTTTTACGCTACTGGACCTGACAACACTCCCGATAATGGTAAGACTAGTGTGAACCCACTATGGAGAGACTCACTATGGGAGATAGTGATGGGCCAGTTCTGGACGACAGCCACACCACCAGCTGTGCGATCGCAGATCCAAAAGACCGTTTCCGCTACTATTGAGCACTTGAAGACCGTGACACCAGGTGGTGGGTGCTATTCTAATGAGGGCGATTGGACTGAGGAAGACTGGCAGCAAACGTTCTTCGGTGAGCACTACGATAGGCTACTGGCAATCAAGAGGCACTATGATCCTACCGGTCTATTCAATTGTTGGAAGTGTGTGGGTTGGACAGGATATGATGAGTAAGTGCAAGAACCCATATTTCATGAACAAAAGCTAATTGTGGCAGTCCAATGTATTCATGGTAAGTTCTGCCTGTACGAGATATATACGAGACATATACTGACCCTATATCTTCACCTTTGCAGCTATGCGCAAACTCAACAGACACCACTACCTTCTGTCCCACTTGGACCTGTCAGATAGATATTTTGAGTTTACGACTAAATGCGTACTTCATGCCAGCAGTCGACCTGTACGGTCGCGGTTAGACGCGCGATCACGTATGCATTTCATCACAGCCATCTTCTTTCTCATGCTATCGTATAGACATCAAGTCAATCCTTCTATTTTTGGGTTCAATTTCCAGCATTTATTGTTTGTTAACCCCACTTTGTACTCATCTGTGCCACGTCGGGGGTCCAATTGCACTCTGTGGAAGTCTTTGGCCCAGGGGCGGCCTCTCACCGCAATGTGAGCAACACTGGGTGAACCCCCACCGGGTCGTAAGAGAAAACATGCGGGGGCGCGTTGCGGCACTGTTTGTACTCATCTATTAACTTATCGTCAGTAGGCTTCTCATTGGCCTGCGTTTGTCATTCACCAACTGCCAAGCGGGCCAACGCTTTTCCAGCGTAGCATATAACGCACGCTCACTTGTACTTACAGAACTTTAGGTGATGTAGAATAATAACAATAACAATCCCTTCATCGGCTCTAGCTCCCACACTTCTTACCTTTACTTCCTCCAACCCACATCACGCGACAGTCAACTACCACGAGATTATCACTCGAACCGCAATCTGCTCACACAATCACTTCAAGAATCTAACTCAGAACAACTCAGCAATGCGCGCATACTTCGACGTTGCCTTTGCGCTGCCGCTCATCGCTGCGGGCGCGCACCTGGGCCATCGCCACAGTCATGATCATGCCGACGTTCATCGCCGCGCGGTCAAAACTGATGTCGTCGTTGTCACCGAGACGGTATATCTTACGCTGACTGCAGAGCCCATCTCGACCTCACCACAATCTTCTAGCTGTGCCGCCGTCAGCACCTCGACTGCGGCTCCACCGTCCATTACTTTCAACTTCCCGGAGAAGGGGCCATCCGATATCGCGTCCAGGTCTGCGTCGTCTTCTGCCGCATCGTTCTCTGCTGCGCCATCATCTGATTTACCACCTAAGACTCCATCATCTACCGGCAACCTCTATGCGCCTTTGAGCTACGAACCGCATACTGCCATCATTGTCAACTCCTGCGACTATGGCGTCTACGTATCTTCAATCGGCGACGTCACTACCTGTGGCCCCGGAAAGATTTGCGAGCTTGTTCCCGCTAACACCACCTACTCCGAACCCATCCGCAGCTGCGGCGACTCTGGAATCTCCCTCAAGGTCTCAAAGACGGAGTCAATGGCCCAGCCGATGCAGTTCGAATATACTGTCTGGCCTGACAGCACCACCATGTCCTACGATATCTCCTACTTGGACTGCCAAGTCAAGACTGACGATGTCTTTGACTTCAGCGCCTGCGTGGGACACGAGAAGGGTATACAGGCTGCCGCCCCCAATGGACCCGTCTACGAGTGCGTGGCAAATGAACCATGTGCTCAGAATGCCTACATTGTACCTGAGTTTGGCTACTTGCCCGGTGCACCGGTCGGTAGTTCCACCATCGACAAGGGTATTGCCTTCGAGATTTGCGCAGAGAACAGGACGTGAGTGGGAGATGAGGAAGAACGAAATTCGCGACAACGACTTGAACATTTCTTTCTCAGTTCGACCAACCGAGTTATCCGGACGTCTCTTCTTAGGGGCACGATGGATTGTTAACGTGTGTACTCATGTTGTTGTATTAATAATCTGGTTCAAACATCTTTCTAACAATTTTCGTACAGGCCCTGAATACTCCGGGTGGACAACATACACAGTCTCATGTGGGTTTACTTTCCTTCTTTGCCTTGCGTTCTTTTGTACATTCTCTCTGTTGAGGTCTTGTTATTCCCTTCTTCGAGCAAGGACATAGCCGAGCGGAAGTTGGAGGTTTGGAGATTTGTGGCGATGCAGATGGTATATGGATACTGGCGGTTAGCTAGCTCATGCCTCTCAATTGAAAGCCTTTTATACAATCTTCCTCTATCAGTCATGATGCTGAATATGCACCGGCATATATCTCCAGCGAATTCCTCATCACGCTGGGATCAGAGTCTCTCGCTAGAAGAGTAGAGTGAAACGAACTTTTATTGCCATTATTTCGTTACCCTGTCCACTCAACTCAGCCGACTAGCCAGAAACCTCCTCAGTTGTCCCAAGACTGTATCATCCAACGTCTGTGCACAAGCATTTGATTCGGCATGCTGGAACAAACTGGAAAGCTTTGACAGTGCAGTATCACAAGTCGGACAACTGAATGGCTTACAATCGTATTCCGTATCGCCGTCGTCGAGCAGCTCGTCCCGGTAATCTTCAAAAATGAAGTAGGGCCACTTGTAGCACTCGGCTGCAAGCTTGTTGAGATGGATGTAATTGATGTTACTACAGGTGCCGCGTTCGAGGTGAATGATCTGCCACGGTGAGCGAACAGACCAGAGTATGATGCATCTAAGATACGTGCCATGCCGCCGTAGGTCTTGAATGTTCTGGTACATAGGTAACACTCGTATGTCGGTTTGCGATGAGACAAGCAGTGCTACAAAATTTCAACTCCACACTCATTTGACTGACAGTTCTCACGCCTTACCTGATGGAGATGACTCTGTGAAGCGAAGTGCCTCTCACACTTAGTGCAGACGTTGAAGTCCTTCACATGGTCCAAGTACTCTTCAGATTGAGGAACCCAGTATGATCCACTTCCATCATTGCAGCCCTGACAAGCAGTACGGCAGCCTTCTTCACGAAAGTGGTCGAGTAGGTCCTCCCAGGTAGCGCCGTCGAAGTCGCATCCAGGACATTCGTGATGGCTTGGTGAGTCGCGGATATGCTGATGGAGTGCATGAGAAGTCCGATAGCAACGGTCGCAGCGCTCACAAGACCTACTCATTGTCAGTGGGAAAAGGCATACAAGGGGTTACTTACACGGCCATCCTGAAGAATTCACGGCTGAATATTTGCTGGTTAGAGACCTAGCGGTTGTGTTTCTGATGTGTTCGTAGGGGATGAGGAAACGTACAGATTGTAGGTGCAACATGTAGTGAGCCGGTCGCGTTTGTGTTTGTTCGGAGCTCCACTTTCTTGAATCAAGTGATCGCGAATAGGCAGCGAGGGTCTGCACCTATGCTGACCTACATAGCAATCAGTTGGACCGCGACAATATTTGCTGAATCAAAATTATAGCAGTCGCTTGGATAGCTGCATGTCATAGCCCAGATGTTAGTAATACAAGCAAAGGGCAGAAAGAAGGATAGAAGTAGCTCACGACTTGATTGGAGGACACAGGCTAGACGTGTTCAGGATCCCAGCATGTGGTGGCAACAACTCGCGCTGCGTCGTTAGGAGTAGTAATATTCTATGACGAGAAATCTACTGAGACCTAGCCGTCTCTCTACGAATCCCACTCTTTGAACGCCTTCTGCTTTTGCCTGCTATTCCATTGCAAGGTCCTGGAAATACTTTCGATCCAATCCGTTCTCCTCTTGTTCAGCGGCAGCACACTCGGGAACGGGAAGCGACTTGCACTAATCGTGACGTAGTCGCCAGGCTTGAGTTCGACCCTTTCCCTGCCATCGAAGCTAGCCCATGAGCTCGTTCTCGCGTCGTAAGGTACACCGCAGCGGAGCACGATGGTATCGGGTAGGATGATAGGTCGGAACGAAAGCGTATGCGCGCAGATGGCGGTGACAAGGACCACGGGGTTGTCGGGATGGCAGAGCGATCCGCCTGCTGCAAGGTTGTATGCAGTCGAGCCAGTGGGTGTAGAAACACAAATACCATCAGCCTGAACGGTAGTAAAATGCTCGTCGTCTCCGAACAGCTCAATAGATGACATGGTAGGGTTTGGCCCTCGGTCTACAACAACCTCGTTCAAGATGTTGTGTGTGCCATCTGAATAGTGTGTATGGTGGTCATCAATTTCCTCTCCGATGAGCTCTTCAACCAAATCCCGACCCTCGCCGTCTCGTTTTTGTGACCGCATGACCGTGGCTTCGAAGCGGAGACGGAGGCTGACTGTGATGCCATCTGCGAAGGCAGTGGATAAGGATTGTGGGTATAGCTCGAAATCGAATTTGGTGAGGAAACCGAGAGAGCCTAGCGAAAAGGCGATGGTTGGGGGAACGATGCGCTGGAACAGCCACGACGCATATAAGACTGTGCCGTCACCACCGAGCTGTGTTGCTGTTAGCTTTTGAACAAGGTACAGAACGATACTTCTTACCGCCAGAACGATGTCAAAGGTCTGCGGCTTTTGAGCGCACATCTCGTTTGTCCAAAATTTAAGACGTCCTTGGTACGACTCATTCTTCAGCAGCCCTGCAGCGTCGAAGATCTTGTTGTCCTCCAGCGTTTGCTCGACGTAGCTATGTCTCGTTAACCATGTCCCTTGATTGGCAATGCCGCCACATACACCTTGTACTCCGGGTTCTTCTGAAGAAGCCAGTCGGTGACCTCGCGCGAGTTCTTGATCAGAGCCTCGTCATGCGCCTTGCCCAGAATGAAGATATTCTTCACGTGTAGCTTAAGCCTGATCTGCGAGAGCTTCTTGGACAGTTCCCGTATGCCAAATGCCATGTCTGACAGCTCCTTCTTGGTCAACAACCGCGAGTGCTGTGTCTGCTCGGCACGCGTAGAGCTTGGGTCCTTGTCCACACGCCTTTCCTGCGCGAGACCTTCGTGTGACTGGGAGTGGTCTTTTACGGGCAAGCCATCGTGCTTCTCGAGTAGGGAGTGGACAATACACGCGGTGGTGCGGCGACCATTTTCGGGGCGGGACGTCATCTTGCCAGAGGGGTGAGGAGCAAGGGAGGCTTTGCGACGATGGCCGTTATATCCGCCTTCGAAGACGACCTGTGTTGGTTGGTCAACGTGTCAAGAACAAGAATGGTGAATTATGTACCTCTAGGGCATCGTCGTGGCTATTCACTTGGGTAATCTCCTTGGTATCTTGGTCTCCAAGCTCGCTCTCCATGAGGAAGTTAGCCTGATGGCATCGTTATGACGTTTGGGAGTGCGCTAGGTACCTCGATCGCTTCCTGCACACCCGGACTCAGTTGATCGAAATAGCTCGCCGACATGACTGAAGCGTACAAACAAGCCGGCGATTGGAGGGGTCAAAAGGTACCGTTGCCCTTTTGTAGCCCTTCTGTAGCGCGGTGCGTAATGTCGAGGGTGCAATAATGGGCGCCGCCTCGGCCCACTTTCCGAGGGGCAGCCAGACCAGGCCCCGCCCGGGTCCAATCACGTCCGCCCAACGCCGATGAGATCAGCCACCGGCGTCCTTACTCATACCCCAATCTCCAACCACCATCATTTTCGCAGTCGTCTTTTTTGCTGACTGAGGCTGCTAGAGTGGCACCTCTACCGATTCCAGCACTTCCTCGATAACGTCCTCAACCGTGACACCTTCAAGGACAGCCTTTACTGCTTCGAGCGAGCTGCCCCATTGCATGCTGCGCTCGTTCTCTGGAGCCGTGATGACGATACGATGTGGGTATATCTTGCGGGCTGCCAAGGCCACCATGGATGGTGAGATGTATTCAAGACCATGCAGTGGAGCAAGCGCGCTGCTACTATCAGTATGAACCTCCTGTGGTAGCAGACCACGTACTGTGCTAGCGTATTGAAGTGCCTCGTGGCCAACGCAGAGATGCCTCCTGCGACTGCTCGGTGCAGCCTCATGAAGACGATAATGTTGTGCAGATAGGCTCGTACTTCAGAACTGATCTTCACTTCTGACACCTGCTTCGTCAAGCTTACAAGATCCTGCAACGGTCAGCTTGCTTCAAGACGATCACAATCCACATACCTCAGAAGAGAATAGCGCTGTCTGCGGCTTGTACTTTCCTGGTTGAAATGGTGGCGTGCGTACTACAGAAGACATGGAAGCACCGTCATCTGACACATGCTGCTTCTCCTGTAGCTCTTCAATGTTTGGCAGTCCATCATCCATTTGATGTTTGTGTGAGATGAAAAACTGGTCATTCTACAACCCAGTCAGCTAATGCATCGAGGTTCCTGATTCAACCTACCAGATGCATGGTCAAGCGTGGTGTGTCTGAAGCGTTCAAAGCGATGAACAAAAACGGTCTCGGCGCCGCGTGTACGGCTGTTCTTGTGAAGTTCCGCTTGCCTCGGATCAGCTGTCTGTCGTTAGTTATGCTCGAGCAGAAAAGGCGGACGATGGACCTCTAAAGCCTGAATCTGAACCTGCGGGTTCGCCCTGTTGAGGTTCCTTGCAACAACAATGTTCGCGATACGTTTGCTGTCCAGCGGACTAAAAGGTCTGGGTGATTTCGACGTGCGTCGGTCTGATTTCCCTGGTGATTTTGAGATGGGTGAAAAGTGACCGGGAGCATGAGCTACGTCTCCTCTATCTCGCTCATTTGTGCTCCCAAAGTAATCGCTCTCTTCCCCCTTGACAAGGATTCCGCTTCCGAAATCATCCAGCGTAGTATCTTCGTTGCATTCCAGTACAGCCCACGTTAATCCGAAGACATTTGTAGCGACCTGGAAAGGTCAGTACATCAGCAACCATACTCCGAGAGCTACCCACAAGCTTCAACTCCTCTACCACATCACGGGTTAATTCCCTTTCCGCTTCGATGATGCAATGTTGATCCGCGACTAAACAGATGAGAACAGCAAGCTCCAGATCGCTCAGCGACTGCACCTTCTCTGTTACGTGATCTTCTGAGGCCTCCATGGTTCCCGAAACTTTGTTTAGCTCAATCTAATCTTGAGTCAGATATTGGGGGCTGCGAGAAAGGTTGGCGACTGACGCGTTCGGACGCGGTAGCTGTTCCTGAAGTCGACTTGGAAGAGTGAGCAGGGGTCAAGGGACGCTAGGTCAAGATTAGATTAGGTCGGATACCTTTGATGTCGCTTGCTGCATCCCGAGGCTCGCAAGTACTCAGCACCGGAACAATCTCACGACAGCAGCAAATTCGGCATATATGCATAACACTGCACATTCAAAGAAGCATCATATCCTTGGTTTCTACCAGACTTCTGGTGCACCGAGCTATCGATGGCTATGATTTCTCCATGAACATGCGCTCACCCTCAATGCGCTCCTATCACGTTTCCCACCACCAACGATGTTCAAGTACTCTGCGATACCCATTATCACTCTAGTGTCTAACCAGGCCTCTTATGTGCGTCCAATTTCTGTTCCTTAAGTATTTCGACCAGACGGAGGCTCTTCCTGGTGTTCGATGTAGTAGTCTTTACTGCTGAAGCGCTCAGTGCAGGAAAAGCTTCCACTGCAACACGAGGCTTTTGGCGTGTTGCAAGAGTGCTGACGGGAGACGGCAATACCTCCTGACCGTCCGCCATACCGCTCATAACGACTTGCTTCCGCGTGTGTGGGTTCTTTGGTGTGCTTTGGGTGTCCGAACCACGATGAGGCTTCGATGGATGAGCAGGCTTCAACTTCTTTAGTTGCTGTTCGGCTTCTCGGATTTTTCCCTCGAGAAATTCTTTCCGCTCAGTTGAGCCATTCCTCTCAACAGTCACATTGTGTAGCGTGGCTTGTCAGGTGATTATAAGGCCGGCTAGATGCTGAAGCTCGGCGGTTTGCCGAACAACCGCTGGCCTAGCTGAGATGGGTTGGTTTAGGACTGCAGGCTGGTCAACACGATGTAGCTCAGAGCTCGACGTTTGTTGTTTAGACCATCCTTCTTGTTCTTTTTTTTAGTGTATCGTAGTCCGCCTGGAGTACCGCCCTCTCGATTTGGAGCATTTGGATGTCGTTGCTGATTTGATCGTAACCTTCTTTGAAAGCCTTAGCCTCCTCATCCCGGTCCTGATACTTCTTTTCCATTTCCAGCTTCACTCGCTTGAGCAGTACCTGTTCTCGATCCCCCTGTAAGATCTTGGCCTTCAATAGCTCGTTTTCGTCGAGAAGTTTAGCATAGCGCAAGGCTTTCGCTTCCAGATCCTCAAGCCGATCAACAAGCCTGGCTCTCTCATCGCGCACCCGGCTTTCAACCAATTTCTGGACCTTGTTGTAGTAGCTTCTCTCAAGCTCGCGGTACCTGTCGCTCACAAGTCTCTCTTTGTCCGTGGCGTCCCTCTCGAAAGCTGCTAATCTAATCTCTAGATCTTCTGCTCTTCGCTCCGCGTCTTCAAGCGCGCGTGAAATCTTTGCATGATTTGCACTTAGTTTGTTGAAACAAATTATCTCTTGGTCCAGCTTCTCCCTCACCAGTTTCAACTCTTCGATGTCGGATGGCCTGTTCTTCCAAAATGCTTCCATCATAGACAGCAGCTGATCTGCGATTCTGTCTTGCAGATCATCAATTATCAGGTCCGACGCGTGATGGCATGTACACGGAGGCAGGTCGTCTGGTAAGAGATGTGCTTCCGCTTGAGACAAGGATTCATTGCCTTCAACGTTTTGCTCGAAGTATGATGGGCTAGTACATATGTGGGTCCATTGCTGGAGCCAGACAGCCGCTTTCTTTGTCGCTGCCTCATCGAGTGTGGCACGTATTGTGTTGAGTAGACTTTCCAGGCCGCTGAGCTCGATAGTGAAAATTCTCTCCGTCTTTTGTTCCAAATCCTCAAAGGCCGACATGCACTCTGCAAAAGATCTGCATGGCTGAGCCTCTTGCGATATGTCCATGTTTCCCGTTGCAACTCGCGAAGGGCCTACTGATAATCCGTGGCGTCGGTAAGCTCTTCACATTGAATGTTGAAGGTTACTGATACTCAAGACCGGGTGTTCTCATAGCGCGGCGAGACTTCAGAAGTGGTGAGGTGGGCGCCCTTGATGGTATGCTGGGTTGAAGGACGCGGTCGCCTAAGGTTACTGTTAGCGAAGATACCATACGAGTGATGTTGGGTGCCAGATCATCAGTCAAACTGTACAAGATGAAGATTTTAGTCTTCCGAGTATGCACGAGGAGAAACAATACCTGCAAACGGATAAGTGGGACCAAAGACGCGTATCACAGGTGAACCAACGTGCTTTACTCCATGAATATCTACGTCACTAGCACAAGTTTCCTCTCACCACGCTGCTTCTCGGATCGTTCGCTGCTGTCACTATTGGTGCTCACCACATGTTTCTCTCGGTCCTCAAAATCGAGGCAGTAACATGGTCGATCGTCTACGAGCCACAGCAGCAGCTTTTACGCCGCTAAGTACCCGTAGCGACATAATTCGCCCTCTGAATGGTCAGGAGCACAATGGGATTACTCATTACAATTCCATTCCTGCGTCCGCCGTCTTTCCAGTCAGCGACACACGGAGCAGCCCCAGCATCAAGGTAAAGTCCTGAATAATCGAACTTAAGCTTGAGCTGACAGAGAGTAAGACCAAAATCGACTGCCAGTTCTGCAAATCCGTAGGTCGCGCTCTCAATTGCTGTCGAGCTCGAACAGATTTACAGGCATGCCTAGACTGCGCGGAACTCAGCCAGCTCCTCATCCTTGAAAACAAGAAACACCAAGATGAAATAGCCGCTTTACGTGAGCAGCTGAGGCAGCTGGAAGAAGAAACAGCAGAAGAGAAGTTGACCAGGCTATGCGTCAAGAGCGAGACGAAGATTGTTAAACTGAAAAGCGAGGTAGAGAATATGAACGCAGAGGACGAGTTACTGAAGGCCGAAAATGAGGAATTAACGAAGACGTTGAAGAGACTCGAGGTTGAAATAAAAAAGGCACAGCCTGCTACAGAGTTCACAGTCCGGGAGGCGAAGAGGGGGAAGAGGATGTAGAGTAGTAACCAGTTCCTGACTCAGAGGTGAAACAAGCTGCTTCGTGAATGTTCCAAGAGTTGGTAATGGGTGAAAGGTCAGAACAGCGTGGCCTCTTGGGAGTTGCGGGTGGGAGATTCGCGATAGCTCAGGGACGGAGCTACGGGCTAGCGTGCGCACGGATAATTTCCCCAGCGACACGTTGCGAAAGCTACAGAAGCACAACCCCCTCTCCATCTTCCATCAACTGGCTGTTCGCAACCACCCTTTCCCACCTCTCTTTGTCTTCTTCTTGTCTCTGGGCCATAGATCGCAATCATGAGCGGCCGTAAGTCACGACCTCACCTTTCAATGGCCGCGCGAGGCGTGTGCGCGCAATGCCTGCGAGGAATTACGGCACAGAGCAGCACAGCTAATAGTTCCACGTAGTACGGTTCCTCGATCTCGTCAAGCCTTTTGTGCCTCTGGTGCCTGAAATTCAGCTGCCAGAGAGCAAGGTTCCTTTCAACAACCGCCTCGTATGGACCGGCCTTACTCTCCTCGTCTTCCTGGTCATGAGCCAGATGCCGCTCTACGGAATTGTGTCGTCTGATACCTCCGACCCGCTATACTGGCTGCGAATGATGATGGCGAGTAACAGAGGAACACTGATGGAACTGGGTATCACCCCCATCATCACCTCGGGCATGGTCTTCCAGCTTCTTGCCGGAACCCACCTCATCGACGTCAACCTCGACCTCAAGTCTGACCGCGAGCTCTACCAGACTGCCCAGAAGCTCCTCGCTATTCTCCTGTCTTTCGGTCAGGCCGTCGTCTATGTCATCTCCGGTCTCTACGGACAGCCCTCTGACCTCGGTGCCGGTATCTGCGTTCTCCTCGTTATCCAGCTGATGATCGCTGGTCTGATCGTTATCCTCCTCGACGAGCTCCTCCAGAAGGGCTACGGTCTCGGCAGCGGTATCTCGCTCTTCATTGCCACCAACATCTGCGAGTCCATCATGTGGAAGGCCTTCTCCCCCACCACCATCAACACCGGTCGTGGTCCTGAGTTCGAGGGTGCTCTCATTGCCCTTGTCCACTTGCTCTTCACCTGGCCCAACAAGACTGTTGCGCTCAAGGAGGCTTTCTACCGCCAGAACCTCCCCAACGTCATGAACCTGATTTCCACAGTCATTGTCTTCGGTGCTGTCATCTACCTCCAGGGTTTCCGCGTTGAGATTCCTGTCAAGTCCGCCCGCCAGCGTGGTGTTCGTGGCTCGTACCCCGTCCGTCTGTTCTACACCTCCAACATGCCCATCATGCTGCAGTCTGCTCTTTCCTCCAACGTCTTCTTGATCAGCCAGATGCTCTACAACCGCTTCTCTGACAACCTCCTCGTCAAGCTTCTCGGTGTCTGGGAGCCCAAGGAGGGTTCCGCCCAGCTTTTCGCTACCTCTGGTGTTGCCTACTACATGTATGTCGATTCCTGACTGTACCACAATTTCAGCCGCTAATTTTTTCCAGGTCCCCCCCTCTCAGCATCACCGAGGCTCTCTCCGACCCCCTGAAGACTGCCATCTTCATCGTCTACATGCTCGTCGCCTGCGCTGTCTTCTCCAAGACCTGGATCGAGGTTTCTGGTTCATCCCCCCGCGACGTTGCCAAGCAGCTCAAGGAGCAGGGTCTGGTCATGGCTGGTCACCGTGAGGAGTCCATGTACAAGGAGCTTAAGCGCGTCATCCCCACCGCTGCCGCCTTCGGTGGTGCCTGCATTGGAGCTCTGTCTGTCGGTAGCGATCTTCTCGGCGCTCTCGGTAGCGGTACTGGTATTCTCCTTGCCGTAACTATCATTTACGGATACTTCGAAATCGCCGCCAAGGAGGGCGATATGGCCGGTCTTAAGGGCATGGTCATGGGCTAGATTAGTCCAATAGGGATCTCACTTTTATTGATTTGGATGGAGGATGGGTTGAGGCTGGTGCGCTTCGCCGCACATTGTAACATATGATCTACGAAACAAAAGTTCGCAAAGGTACTGGGCATCACTTGACGTACTGTAGCGTGGCGCCTGGCTAGGCTATCACAGATGCCAGTCCTTCTGTAATGCATCATTGTTAACCCTTAATGTGTTTCAGTATGACTACTATGTGCGAAAGATGCTCGATGTCTGGGCCCTGATAGGACTCACGGGTCCAGTGCGCAGTGGACGTTTGAGCTCTACTAATTCAGCTTCAGTCGCTTTCTCCCTGCTCGTAGCCTGCACTCGAGTATCGAAGTACACCCATAGCCACACCACAACCCGGTTCGAAAGCCCGCGTCCCTGGATGAACGATGAATCTGAGGCGTTGCATTGGCCAGTTTAGCGAATGCGAAATGTGGCGTTCTACGCTTACGATGCGAAAGTCTGGGCATAGCGGCCTAAAAACATCGTCATCTGTGAACTCTGGAGTATGTTCAACATGCATGATGTGGAAGATAAGCGAATGCGACAACAACTGCGGATGCGAAACTGGCGATGGCGCGATACATTCGCAGCTGCAGCTACTACATAAGACGGCTCTGCCGCTGCTTGAAGTGAAGCATCATCACCATCAAGGAATCTGACCTGCTTCTTACTATCCATCTTACTTCCTTTCAAGAGCTTCAATCGTCATACTCAGTTGTTTTACCCGTATTCAGACATGAGATCGAACATGGCAAGCCCACTCGGTATTCCACTCCCTCCTTCGGAATGGAAACGGCAAAACCCACCTAAAGGACCAAACTTTGATTGGGAGATGTACCGTTATGTTCCTTCTCTAGCTGGAGCCATCGTATGCCTCGTTGTCTTTCTCGTAATGGCTTTTCTGCACTTGTATCAGTACCTCAGGTCTAGGAATAGGATCATCATCTTCGTGGTTATCGGCGCGCTCTGTATGTCCTCTCTGTTGCTTCTAGTCTGCCAACTTATTACACATGTACACCGTCTGGAGCTGTACCTAACAGAATGTAACAGGCGAGGTGGGTGGCTATGGCGCGCGTATCGCATCGCACTTCGACAACGATGCCTGGCCCCAGTACATCACCCAAGGTGTACTGACACTCGTCGGTCCTCTATGGTTTGCTGCAACCATATACATGATGCTTGGCCGTACGATCAGACTTGCTGGTGGAGAAGATGTGAGTCTGATCCCAGCGAGGTGGTACACAAGGATCTTCGTCACCGCGGACGTCACGACCTTGATCATTCAGGGCCTAGGTACGTCGTCTCCGCATACAAAGTAGATTGAAGAAACTCGGACTAACAGGAAATAGGTGCCAGCATCATGGGTACGATGCAACTCGCCCTCGCCCTCGCTGGAGAAAAAATCGTAATTGCCGGTCTCGCACTCCAAGTCGCTACCTTTGTTGTCTTCCTCATCGCCTCATTCGATTTCCAAATCCGTATGAACAAGAAAGCCGATCATGCATCTGCAGACTGGAAGAAGATGCTTTACATACTTTATAGTGTCAGCGCATTGATTCTCTTCCGCTGTACATTCAGACTCATCGAGTATGCGATGGGTAACGCTGCTTACTTGATCGCTCACGAGTGGACGCTGTATTGCTTCGACGCTGTGCCAATGGTCCTAGTCCTGGTGATGCTGCTGGTTTTGCAGCCAAGTCGATATGTTGAAGGGAACCTGAGGATGGCACAAGCGGACAGCGATGGTGAGACGGCTGTCATAGAGAGAAAATGAGGGTTCTTCAGTGTGCTTGATCTGTAGTTTTAGCGTGCGTTGAGCGGCTGTCCTGTACTTCTTTATATATCCCAATCTCCAATATGATTTCCATGTTAATTCCTTCAATCAGCATGTGATATGGTTGTCGCCTGGGCGCAGATGTACTGTGAGCTGATAAAAACGAGCGTAACGCACGGCTGTGGTCGCGCATACCCTGTAACCTCACAAGACTGCATATGCGCCCCATATACTATCCAATGTTGCGTGACCAAAGGCATATCATATACGAAAGCCCACGTACCTTTGCCATGATGGTATGACTACCCAGACAGACCTTAGGCCCCCCACTAAGCGGCACTTAGCCACGCGCACGACCCAGGCACTATTGGACGCCTTACATCCCACCACCTTGTGCCTCCCCGGGATGCCAATCCATCCAAACCATACTAGCTCCGCGTAGACGTAGTTTAGATGGCGCGCCGAAGTACGGGTTTCGTGCCTAAGAAGCCGCATCGCAAGTCGAGAGGCGGATGCTTGACCTGCAAGAGAAAGAAAGTCAAGGTGTGTTTGATTTTCAGGCTTTCCATGTGTGGACAGAGAGTTAATGTAGTATAGTGCGATGAAGCACAACCTATCTGTCGTTACTGCAGTGTGAGAGACCTGAATTGCGAATACGCACAGGACTTCCAATCGACGTCGAGGACACCGTCTTCAGGACCATCGCCTGGTCACGAATTCCGATCATCAGCCTACAACAATGAGGCAGATTTCAATGATCTTTCCTTCCAATTGGCGCCGTGGCTCGTTCCAGCCTCTCCAACATCTATAGGCTCCTTTGCACACCTCGACCACCAGTTATTGCAATACTATAAAGCACGTGTCTGGCGCGAATTTGTAGTGCGCGACGACACCGTCTTGAACAACTTGCACGAGAATGTTGTCCCCCGACTAGGCATCTCTCATCCTTTCCTTCTCTACGCTATGCTCAGTATCGCCGCCAACCACAGCAACGAGCTTATGCCAAACAAGACCGTTGAGAAACAAGCACTACTATATCGCCAAAAGGCTTTCTCTTCTTACAAGGAAGCACTCAAAGACATCACCGCAGAGAATTACGAAGCAGTCCTCGTCACAGGAGGTCTTTTCCTCGCTCTAGTCCCACCACCGTCTACCAACAATGACGATGAGTACCTAGAATGGATGATAACACTACTGAAACTAAGCGAAGGACTTCGTATCCTTGCTTCACTCCGATGGGCACAAGGCATGGAGAAACTCTCCGTTTACCCCTTGGTGCGACGAGAACTACGCACTTTGCCACCACCACCTATCGTTGATGTCGCAGGTGTAGATGCTCCTATCGGGCCCCTAGGAACAACACCTAACAATCCCAATCCAGCACCAACGTACCCACCGACACAGTTCCCCACACAGACCTGCCTGTTCCTACCTCCACCTTTGATGCAGCTCCTCGGCAGCATTGTCCGTGGCAAAGAATCTGGATCAGTTGACTGGCATAGACCAACGCTACTTCCAGTGTTCCACGCTCTATCCCCCATATTCCTGTCCTTGTACTACTACCACCTGAATCCTGATCTCTACGTCCGCATCTTTTGTTTCACGTCGTTCCTCATGCCGGAGTTTCTCCAGCTGGTGCGCCAAAGAGAACCTCGTGCTTTGGTGCTGGTGGCATGGTTCTTTACCCTGGCCGAGTTTGTGCCCAAGGGCTTCTGGGTTGGGGGTAGAGGGCGAAAGATTATTAAGATTCTTGGACGGGAGATTAGAGCACGGTCGTCTAGGGATGATGGATTTGTGGAAGGGGTTTTTGAGGGTGCGCAGAGGATTGTCGATGTGTTGATGAGGGAAGGGGATGAGGCGGCAGCGAAGAGTGTGTTTGAGGATTGGCCTGGCGTCAGTTGGGAGGACCGACCTGGTAGAGATGAGGAATGGGAGTCTGGACTTTTGAGGACTTGGGTGATTTGAATGTTCCTTGGGTTCTAATGCTGCGGGTCTTGATGTACAGGAACTAAGCATATCAGTCTGGACATGGTATTTCAGAACTATCACGCACCAGTTCACTGCAACGTTCTCATTGCCCTATCTCTGGTGTAGTACCCGCTGTTTCTGCAGCGGCACTCTTGTTTCCTCCCCCTAGTGTTTCCTGGCTCTGCCCGCCTCTTGGCTGCCTCAACATGCAATACAGCTTGATAGCGTCCTTCTCTCCATCTCCATCCCTACACTCCATCTCCCTCGCCAGCCGAAATCCAAACTTCTCATAAATGGCAATATTTGGCTCGCTCCTGCTACTCTCCAGATAGCAACTTCTCCCCTCTTTATCAGCCATACTCAGAACCTCTTCCATTAAGGCTCTCCCTACGCCCTGACCCTGACACTCTGGCAACACAGTAACGATGTTGCAGAAGTAGTACCCTTTTGGATCCTTCCACAACTCAGACTGCGCTTCCGCCTGCCGCGCTTTCCATATCCAGTATCGCGTGGTACTGAGGCCGCCGCGTCCGTACCACAAATTCATGCGTATTTGGTTGGCCCAGAGATACCAGTAGGAAAGGTATAGTGACCAGGACTCGGGTTCTGAAGTTGGCCGGGGTGGAAGCCACATTGCGCAGCCTAGGATCTTAGAGGGATTTGCGGTATCGCGTGCGACGTGGAAGAGGCCATGCTCGATACCCCAGCGGCATCGTAGCGTGAGAGAAACGCGGTTACGCGCTAGGGAGACCTGAAATATAGCTGTTAGTAAGATGCATGAAGACGGGCGTTGAGGGAGTTACCTTTTCGCGGTCTGGAAATACCCAATTGTTGTAGGGATCATTTGCGAAGGCTTGTTGTATGGTATCGATTGCGCCGTCTATATCGGCCTCTTTCATGCGCGTTACTTGGATAGGCATCGTGCTGAGGTGTTTGGCAAGACCCAATCCGTTCCTGTATCACGGTACTAGCAGAAACGAAGTGACATGTGCCAGTTTAAAAACTAGCAAGCGTTGAAAACCAGCCATGATGGGTGCGGGGAGGGTTGCGATAGCTTGTCGCATCCAAGATGTGGATAGACGATACGATTGGGAAGGTCTAAGCGACAGTCACGTGTAATGAGGGTCTTGTCTTATCTGAGCAGGTGCATACTAACCCTCCTCACCAATCCTACCGTCAGCTGTCTTGGCATTGTTACACGGCCTTAGCCTGTTACGATGCCGGCTTTCAGTGATCAATGCCCAGCCTCGATGCCTTGGACCAGTATAGTAACGCGTCCTAACCAGCATGGAGACCTCCAAACATAGACTGAGACGGGCCGCTCGACTTTCTGGCCCACCACTTGGCTTAAGACGGTCCAAAACCGATTGTACCAACGACCAAGCTCAGCCGCACCCTGACTATCAGGCTGAAGGCGGGGCAGCGCCAGGCCTACCTCACCTCCAGCCGACGACACCTGCTCCAGTATGGAGTTCAGGCGAAACCCCCCATCGTTCTCTATCGCCAAACAGTGCCAACAACCCAAACGAGTGGGTCGAGTTTAGTGAAGAATTCCGGGATGGGCTGGATATCAAATCGCGTGGCAGAACTGACAAGCACCACCGAGACAGAACACGAGTGTTCTACGAACCTGAGCAAAGAGAGACCCTGCTTCCACGCTCACTAAGAGACACCCACCATATATTAGAATTCCTAAGATCATAAGATGATCATCAGGACGTATTGCTTATGCGGTGGGCACAGGCTTCCTTGCCAGATCGCATGCTCGACATTTTGTTCAACCACTGCGAGTTTGAGGGCGACGAAGACGTGTTCGAGGTGAACCGTCACCTTGGTGATGGAATGGTCGGCGTTGTCGAAGAAGTGACAATACGATCCTGTGAACCGCCCATAGTGTGTGCAAGAAAAAAGATCGCAAGGCCAAAACCGCTCAAGCTGCACCAAAGTATCATGACTGCTTTCATTCGAGAGATTAGAGTCATGCGTCAAGTCGACCATCGCCATTGCGTTCGCTTTCTTGGGAGCTATACCGACAGCGAGTCGGTCAACATTTTGTCGACGCCTGTGGCTGATATGGATATGGCTGCCTTTTTGGACAAGCCTATTGGTGACCGGGAATAGAACATCCTCTATAAGAGGATTGATTGCCTTTGTGATGGGTTGTAAGTAGATGCTTGCCTACCCTTCTATGAAATCGAGCCTCGATCGAGCCGTTTCGTGACTAGCAGTGCTGGTAGGAAGTCCACAATTGGGTTGAGCCTGTCGCTTACAGGATGATCTGACAGTGACGCAAGCTATGAGGATGTCGCCTTTGGGTTTCGCGCAAAACTGGACTGCCAATTACTAGTCCTCCTCCAATGATCCTTGACTTCAGACAGACTGTGCCCGTAAAGTCCTGAGACCATCTCGACCAGAACACACCCAAGAGAGAAGATGTCATTAGCTCGGTTCCGGGGCTCAAACTCCAAGACTCCTAGCGCTGAGTATCACCCAGTCTACGCTGACGGCCGCCCGGTAGTCGTTGAAGCTGAGTCATCGGAGAAGTCTAGGCTGTGTATTATTAACGTTGGCATGTCGACGCCGAAGCAGGAATTTACCTGAACCCGAAGTCGGTGAGTAATATGTCATTGCAATGTATGAGAACATTCTGAGGCTTGAGATCCTCGTGCCTGGAGAGGTCAGCCTTCTCCATTCGAGGAGCAATATAGTATATGGAGTCTTATTGGTCATAGTGGTAGATACGTCACAGTACACGTACCGTATTTTCTTTCAGTGTAGGTATAGCCTAAAAGAAACAGTCAGTAAGCATAATGTTTCTCGTGTACAAGAAGGCAGCCGGTATGTTGTGACTTCACTACCCTTACTCGACCATCAGCACAAGTTGTGGTTGATAGATTGAGAGACCTAAGCCGTGTTCTGCCCGAACCCTCTCATCTTGTCAATACTTGTTGTGGGCTGCATCGAATTTAATAGATAGGCTTCACTCCGAGAGCATCGAAGAAAGCGGTTGCGCAAAACGCGTGATACACAGTGCGGACAAGATCTCAGGAGCTATCTTGATGCTGTACCCGACCAGGAAGTGACTTTATATTGTACTGCAAAACAAAACCCATTACTCTTGCATCCAAGATGACTCTGGCCTGACTGAGCTCCATCCATACACTATCAATATTTTTTGTAGTCAAGGACGCATGCGCGATGCCCTCCCTGAGATTCAAGATGAGGCCAATGCTAAATCATTCACAAAACCCAACTGTTTTACCTAATACTTGATCACTGCGTGCTGCCGAAAATGGGTTGAGCATATACCTCTCAGCATGTCATGTTCACTGCACTACGAGCAAAGTTTGTATACCCCGGTCCAAGTCGTTCAACGCTTCAAAGTCTCTCTGCCGATTTACGGTGGGCGACTAAAGGATCTATCCATCTATGGTCGGTCACGGTCGTTGTCCCAACTAATGACGCTATTCTAGTTCGGTACTTCACGTGCTTGCACTGCGACTAGTGCACGGAAGATGCAAACCTTCGGAACTTGACACGGGTTTTGTAGACATGAGTGCAGTGCAGGCTAGTAAGAGAATCAAGCGGACCATATTTAAGTGACATCAGGACGTCTGGAGGTACTGCTCAGCTCGAGATCCTTCACGCCGATTCGTCCCTTATTGGTCATGGTGTTACCAGGGAAAAAAGAACCGCATATGAAAAAGCGAAAAGGTTCAAGGTTCGTGGTTTGGGGCACTTATCGTGAAAGGAAAACAGGTGACATGGGCGTAGCGATACCATAGTATGAGCCAAGTCGAAAGCTTCAACCATAGTGTTTACGCTATACGGCTCATAAGCCCAACTATATTGCACATATGATGTATAGGCTTTTTCGTATCCCATATATCTGGTTGCATAAAGGCGTACTTATCTTTTTCTCAAGGCAACAGCAAGCATAGCGAGTTATTCCGCCAAGGTGTGCCGTATTTTCTTTTCGACCAAGACTTCCCGCTTCCGCGACAACGCTCACACATGTGCACACCCACACATAGATAGTGATGGTTCTATACATCCCAACTTACTCACCGCTCAAAGTTGAACCTTACACTTACACTTACACTGTGCTTATGTCAACATGTTCGCGCAAGAACAAGCCCCGCACTACTCCATCTACCCCAACGTCTTCGTCATCGATCGGCAGTCCTGCATAGGCAGCCTACCGAACTCCGTCTGATGACACCCTCCCGTGGCGTAGCGAACAAGCGCAAGCGGCTCCGGATGTTGAATGCGAAATGCTTGGGTGGGGACATGTTTTTCGCCGGACCGTTGTTGGATGGATGCGTGTGTGACATGTGTGGCGAGGCGCTGCTTTTGCAATTGGGGCTATGCTATGCCATGCTTGACGGTGGCGATATAATGCGTAAATCGGCCCGCAATGTACACAAAGGTGTATACACCTGATCGGTCGATAAAGACGATCGGTAGGGCTGCAATCAGTAAAAGTTTTGTTGAGTAACCTCAAATGTGTGGTGGAGTTTGAAGCGAATTACGAGCAAGAGAAAATATATGATGTCAACGTAGAGCATTTGCTCATCAGCGATGATCGTGCCTGCGATCAACATGTTGACGATCTCCCTTAGGCATCGTCCCGAGGTCGTCTATCGCTTACTCTTGTATAGCACCGTCTGATATCAGCTGATTGTTGGGCTGTATGATTCTATGTATCCGGCACTCTCCATGGGCAGCAGCTCCTCCAAGGCTAGACTATGCAACGACTGGATTTTGTAACGAAAGAACATGGATATAGGTAGGAAGACGGAACGCGACGTGTTGGGTACTTTGTGAGCTCCCAGCTTCCACTTGAAGGCACGATTGTCAGTGTTGCATCCGTGTAGCGATGATCCGGAGCTTCTTGATCCCGAACGGTAACCTAGCTCCCTCATGTAGGCGGCACAGTAGAGCAAACGGTACATGATGCCCCGGAGTATTTTGGGTGGCATAATTAGGGCGCCTGTTGCAAGATGCATCAATGCTGCATCTGCCGAAAGGACTAGCGATGTAGAAGCGCGCGGTGTAAAAAACAGTTAGGAGGCCGGAAATCCGTACACGACGTAAGCAACTGATGTAGCACTTCGGCAGCTAGATCTTGAGTTGTTCATGGGTCATCGTGGTACTTGTTGATCAACGGAGAAAATGTATCCTTCGCGTAAATGGTCCAAACCACCAGTATGACTGTGTGCAGCACCTGCATGTCCCCATTAAATTTGACCGTATGATGGGTGGGTAACTATGAGGGCAAATAGTGCCACTTGGTGTGCATGCATGCGACCCGCCTGCGGCTGACAACTCAGTGTTGGGCAGTTAGGCAGCCAGTATTGGAGAGCGAGAACGATCGGAAAAAGCGGAAGCAAAGAAAAGTTGATGAAACACAGTCCGGAAGTTAAGCCACCTGGTTTTGTCGTGCAGGCTGTCCTTGGGCGGTCTGTTTGGAGCAGTTCCAGGACATCCTAGACTGTGGATTGCTGTTAATGCTGGTCGAGGAGGGGTAGTGTTGCGGGCGCTGATGAAGCGCCTACTAGCCGCATCGCCGTGAGAATATCGGTATGTCAAAGAAGGAGCAAGCCGGGCTGGCATGGTCATCAGACAGGTGGGAATGCGGCAAGTCGGGCAATAAGCGACTTGCGTATACTTTACGCAGCGATCAGATCTTTGTCGTGGGCGCCCAAAAATAGGCGTTCAATTTACTGAGGGCCCGCAAATCAGGACCATGCAAGTGTGACCGCTTCTGCGCATAATCGCAGGCGAATAAAGAAGGTACTTCGGGTCGTCGCTCAGTGGTGGAAGCGGCCTTTTGAGATCGCCGCGTAAGCACAATTTAGCCTAGAGCATGTCCAGAGTGAAAAGATAGGCGATTCGCCGATCTGGTGAGGTGGAAAAATTCATGGCGCATGCATGGCATCCGTGGACCCGTTTGCACCGTCATACACCTGACGAGGAACTACTTGCATAGGAGCTTCCGTAAGCGAGTCTCAGTTGTCAACTCAAGGATTGTCACCTTCACGCAAAGGACCGCCCTTGTCAGCTGTGATGCGCGCAGTAGCACCGAACTTGGGATCGCATTTGACACATCGCCTGATGTAACGGCGGCCGGATGCATGACTGGCGGACACCAAGCTATGTGCTACAAACGAATAGCGACTGCTGTATAGGGTTCCGACTAGGGGTGTGCTGCTGGAATATTAAAGCGGAGTACGATTTCCGTATTGGTGCGTAGTATTACAAGACTCAGATCGGTGGTGGTAACTGTAAAAGGTAAGCATGATGCTTGGAGTGGCCCGACCTCGGATACTCAAATGTGGCAGAGTGCTGATCGAGAAACTTTGCTCTATATTAGTTGCGATACCGACACAGGTTGCAGCAGCAAGCGCCTCAATACCACCCTGATTCATGATGATGGCCGGATCCACGGCTCCTTCTGGTGCATTGTCGCTGCATTGAAGGATCAGAGCTATTGGCCTCGAGGCGGATGCAAGCAGAGACTGGACCTAAAGAGGTGCGACAAGCAGAAGGGTCACGGCGAAGCGGCAGAAGGAAAACAAACGCTCGTACTGCGCGTGAAACCGAGTCACCGCCGGGCCCTGGTAAAGTGGAGATGATTTTGCGGAGATGCAGGCTGGCTTCAGCTGCTGCGTCGTAAGACATTTAGCATGGGATCGCCCGACAGGTAAGTTTCATCAGTTGCAGCGCTCGGGTGAAGCGAAGGTACAGACGTGTACATGATACCCACGGTTGGTCGTGCTCGTGCGGCCGTCTTAGCTAGGTAAAAGTGATGTGGAAGCTCGCCCGCACCGTCATGGCTTGTCCATGTTGATGTACCTGCAACTTGCACATACAAGCGAGTAGGCGGCGGTGGTGTTGGCATAGTGGCGGTCTGACTGGACAGACCCGTACCCCGGCCACCAGCGCATATCGTATATGTGGAATGCCATCTTGCCCCATGGTTGTGAGCCTTTAGCTATTTTCAGTGGGGCATCGGTGTCCGGTTCTCTAGACGTGCGTCACACGCACATGTCGAGATGAGATGCGGTAGGAGGTCGTACCGCTGGTGCCTGTTTGAGTTGTGCAGTAGGACTATGAGCCGGCAAATAGTCAAGGTTGCGTCCAGCACAACTTGCAGCAGCATGGAGGCTCACCGACGAGCTAGTGTGGCTGCTGATCGAAGCACCCAGGAGGCTTCAACGGAGCACGGCGATTGGACAGGGAGTGGTCGACGTTGAGCAAGTGGGCTCTCGAGCCGCCTAGTGAGGCTAATGCTCGCACCAAGGGTAAGGATAAAGTGCCGCCGCGCCCGCAAGAGGGAATTTCACGTTCGCATGGGCCGACAAGGAGTCTAGAACACGCATCACAAAGACAAGCCAACACCTTGCTAAGGATCGTCGTCATCCACAAGTAATGCAGCTACCGAGCCCACGAATTCTTCCTCATGCAACTTGTCCACAGCGTGCTTCACCTGACGCTTGGTTAGGGCTGCGTGACCGAGAATTAACACGTAGCCGATTCAAATCTAATGAGTGGTCTTCTGAAAGGCCCAGGACGATGGCAGTGCGATAGACATTCTTGAGAAAGGCAATCTCGTGTCAAGATTATCATGTTATCGACAGGGTAGGGCGAGCCATAAAAGACTTTCTGGGTGGCTCGCTCGCATAGTGTAGGCGATGCCGCTCATACCGCAATTTTTGTTCTGTCAACAGTCTTTGAGACGATGCAGCGCCACGTTTGAGACCCACTCGACTCGTGGGCCACCCGCTGATACGTCATTAAAGGGCTTTTCTTCCCGTGTTGCAGATTGCCGGACTGGGGCTGTCAGAGATGGGCAGCGCTTGGCCTTGACACACTTTGAAGAGTCTAGTACCCGTGCCGCGTCAATTCAAGCGATTTCGCCAGAATAATGCCGGAGAAAGCCTTCTTGAAACTACAGCGTTCACAATCTCGATTGATGAGACCAGTAACGCGCAGCACGGCTAGTAGGCACGGGTTTCCAGATGGTGTAATGTCTGCCGACGCTGTTGTGCCCAGTGCTGCTGCGTGACCTATCACCTCCCACGGATGAGCTCAAGACAAGACCATGGGAAAATGCGGGTCAGCATTCAGCACCTCGATTCGACGGTTCGCAGATTGTGTGAACACGATCAAGCGACGCTGTGCAGAACAGGTTCCGGTGACAGCTCGGTGCTTACTTTTCCTGTTAACGTATCCGTCTCGTGATGCACAAGTGGCACAGCTACGCCGTAATTTTTCGTGGATCAAAATGACCGAGGCCGTGTGCTGCAGAGTCATACTGGCTGGGTGTGATACGCGGGATGTGCTGAATTACGGGACACGGTGCATTGATTCGTTCCCTGTGGCTCGCGCTAGTTGCAATATCGTTCACTGACGCTCACATTCGGTGCACTTTGCTGATGACGGACCTGTGATATTAGTTACTTCTTCTTTGGCACAATAAAGATCCTGCGTGCTGGCGCCTGCACGAGTGTTGCCATGAAAAGCCGCTTCGTGATTGGGTTTCATGTGGTAAAAATGTATGCCATATTTTTAATGTCACTTGGCTGCAGCCAAGTAAACGTTGACGATGCATTTTTGCGTGCATCCATGAATGACACCCCATGCAAGGACCCAAGTGCAGCTTTCATATGCTCTTTTTGGCGACAAGATGCAAGCCCCCTGACATGATCCTGTTCGTTTGAACCGCCAAAAACATCCTTGCGCCGCGTTGGACCGCTGTCGATCATTCAGGCGGGACGAGGCCAGGGTTGGTCTCTCGGCGCTTCGGCTGCATCTCATCAGCCACGCGGGGATTTTCTCATTTCTGGTTGTCGAACGGCATTACCACTTTGGGCCTGGTCACCGTGGGGTCGCTCAGGGAGGTGTGAAGGCCTTGTCGTTGGAATGGATCATATCAACCCGCTTGTCATCTTGGTTGAGACAGCCGTGCTGCCAATAACGGTAGATGGTAGCGGCAGACTTCTTGAGATGGATCCTCACCACGCAAGCTCGCTGCTTTGTCACCGCGGCGCAGCCAGACTTTGTGCTTCGTATTAGTTGCAGCCAACATTTATCGTAATGAACGGATCCACTCCACCCACCGCGACGTTGAACGAAGTACCGGCGTCCTATAATAGGTTTTAACCTAGTGTATAGGCAGACTATTTGCAGTGCTAGACGATCTCGCAAGGAGAATGACATGCCACCATGTGAACGCGCGTATCGCCATGTCGGCCGCACTGTGCCCGGTGGTCAAGACTGCCGGGCGTGATGCAGCGGTTCAGTGTTGACTTGGGTCACAGCGTCTGTGTTTGGATCAACCAGCCGGTCACTCGGTTGTCCAAGCCCGATGTTCGACGTTGGCAGCGTGCACATGGTTTCAAGGCGTGCCTAGGTGGAGCCCGGCGCTGGCCAAAGGTTAAAGTGCTTTTCCTCGGCGCTGCCTAAGTCCAACAAGGGTGTCAGACTCGACACAACCACAAGTACGGGGGGTGGGCGTACTTTAGGCGTAACCCGTCGTGGCGGCACATGTACCCACGCCGGGGGGTCGACCGATGGACAGGCGGCTTCTTGCGTCCGGTGTGCTCATACTGCTCAGGCGTTTGCAGCGTAGTCAGTATGCAAGGCTGATGACATGCCTGTGCTAGGCGAGGGCTCTACGCTGATTGCTCCAATCTCCGCGAGTGGCCCGCCGTTGGCTGTGTGACCTCAGCCAGTGATGCATGTGTCTGATACTGCATCGGTGCACCCATCTGCAAAGTCCCATGTCATCGACTCGCCCGTCCCCGTTGCAGGCGGCAGGGGTTGACTACCTGCATGTCGATTTCTGGAAGACGCTCGGCTAGGAGGAGGCCAATGAAGGCATCGGAGCAGCGCCCACCCCAGATCGCGCTTGGATACCGTGGGCCAGCAGTGTGGTTTGCCGGCTGCACGCGCGACCAAGCAGGAGGTGCTGGGAGCGGGTATAGTGGACCGATTCACTCTCGCGGGTGGCAGTGATTGGCTGCGCCCACTAGCGTGTCGACTGCTGTGAAGGAGAAGTAGCGCAGCAGGACCCAACCTCGCTTTCCAACCCTTTCCGAAGCTACTGCGCCAACCAAAGTTTGAAGCCCCATCCGCCCCTGATCTCGCGATGCTGCTGGCGCCGACACGGATCTCTGCTTGATATGCACCATGAACATGCATGCCTCCCACACCAACGCCCATGTCGCCCTGGAGTATCGCCGGTCCTCTTCCACTAATCATGCTACCCTCAGACGCGGCTAAAACATGACGCTGCCGAGTGCGAGCGTCCTTCAGGCTCCGTACGTACAACAACCCTAGGGCTAGTTGACCGCCTTGAGGGCCACCGCCCCATGCACACGACACTCAACCCCGGTGCGGAGCCCAGCTGAGTCGCACTGCACGTCTGTACAGGGCCTAGTCGCACTACCGCATTCTGCCATCATCGTGGCGGGCGTTGTGGTTCCCTTGTCTGCTCTCCATGAGCCGGCCGTCGTCTAGCTGCACGGATGCTCCGTTGCGCGTTGCGCCATGATACATGGTACGCCTCCCTCGTCTGCCTTCCCTGTCTTGTGATTTGGTCATTCCAAGCGTTCCTTTTCGCTTTCTGCACTATGCCTTTCGTTGATCGTTCCAGCCGTGCCACTGGCCCTAGTCGTCACAGCGCTCCCTCACCGAGCCATCCCTTGGTGGCTCCGTGTAGTCAATACACTCCCGTTCCTTGTCTGCATCTATTCCACTATTAGCTGTTCTTGAGTTTCGCTAGCCTAGCCCTGGCATGCCTTGTACCATGACTCTTGCCGCGAGGTTACGCTACCTCAATTTCCCCATCCACCCTTCCTGATGTGTCTATATCTCTTGGCAGTCCATATACCTATGCAGATGCCCCCAAGCCAGTCACGCTTCCAAGTCAGACAAGAGTGATTGCACCCGACACAACCGCCTACTAGCACACACATATACAAACCACTCGAGACATCTCCCCTTCGACTGTGTATGATCACTGCCCTCCCACCATACCACCTCGCCAACATGTCCGGCCACATGCAAACCTCACAGCTTCACCGACGTACCTCTCGCAGCTCTGGAAGCCAAGCACCATGCAGATCATCACGCGTTGAGAAGACAAAAAGCCACCACAACAGTCCAAAAGCCATGGAGAGGAGGAAGACTACGACGGAGACCAAGCTTTATGCTACTCTAGACGACCACTACAGGATGATGTTTGGCGTGTCACAGGAGGAGGAGGAAGAGCGGCCACAACAGAACAGACCAGTTAGCTGGCACCCGTCGTCGTCACATTTCCAGGCTTCACAGCAAACGAATTACTTCGAACCTATGCCCCATCAGCAATGGTCACAACATTATTCCCCATCAGACCGTGACTCTCACCACGGTTCTGATTTCTACTCCCTGTCTACACGCAACTCCATGTTCGAGCCTATGACTGGTGCTTCGACTTATGCCAACACCCAGTCAGAATGTGGATGGTCCCAACACACACCCGGCTACGTTCATTCTTCGCTCAACACTCCTTCTACCGAAGCTTTGCCCTGGTATCTGCAGCAATGGGCCCAAAAGAACCAAGCACAGGCATCTTCCAACTTCCTGCCTATTCAACATCCTGCTCAGCAAGATCAAGATATGGAAGACGACGATGGTGAGAAGCTTGTTGCATTGGGCCTGTACGACGCACCTGAGCCATCACTGAGTTGGGGCTCTCTCACTGAAGGAACAGGAAAAGGTCTCAAGCTTGAGGAGACTTGGCAACCACCGGAGGAAGAGGAGGGCGAAGAGGAGGATGATGACGCCAGCTCAGAGGCCAGTGTCGAAGAGCCATCTCCACCTTTGCCGGCAGTGCAGCAGAGCCAGCACCTTCCTGTCCACGTCAAGGCTCAAACACCTGGCAACATGGAGGGACAGAGCTTCTTCTTTGACGAGGACGAGTCGGTTACCAAGGAATGGTGGTTTCAACAGATGAAGCAGCCCACCATGCCGGTGCGGGACGCCGGGCTGGGATATGGATGGCTATGAGCCGGATCTTTGTTTCAAACGTGCGACTACGATACAGGAGCACCAGCATATTTTTTGAGGCGAATTCTTTTAGCACAGCGAGGCGTTTTGCATGGTTCCGCTTGGAACCGGAAAAGACTTTAGAGATACCCAGCCTTTAGTGGCAGTAGAGTGAGGCTTTGCATCGCTCACTATGAGGTCAGATGAACATGATGTAGTCAGATAGTAGCATCAACCAGATCAACCACATTACATCAAACTTCGATTCCTTACCCTACTGTGCCGACTTTGATTACCTTGGCTCCATGAGTCATCGAATGGTACATAGGCCTGGGCAGCATCCGAGGTCCACCATCGACGAGAAGGGAAGGTGCTTCCTGCTTCAAGCTGCCCCAGTATTCGCATTTCGCCGTGACAACGTCAATCCTCGACCTCCACAGCCCACAAGCTTCTTCAACGCTTCTAGCCTTCTCGTATAACCATGGTCCCAACGTACATTTGTCTCGGCGCAAGCCGCCATGTACCAGCCCTTAGTGTACCGAACCCACGTACTCTGCAGTGTGTAAGGCGGCCAGTACAAGACACAGCAAATCACACGTCGGCGACATGCCGCCGTCCTCCGGGCCCGTCCTTTAGGTCCTAGTGTGATGCAGATCGGTCAACGCGCAATTGTGTCACATCGCCCGGTAAAGGACCGAAGACTGTAAAATAATTCAGCAGCCTCACGAAGTGGCATGATGGTGCAAAACACGCACCCACCACGTCAAAGCGAAGCGACGCTGACACTCTGCGGTCCGACCGATCTTTAAGCCGTCACCCGGAGCGAGCCACGCAGCCCTGTGCGGCAGGTTGTGGAAGCTGCAGAATCGTCCTCCACCTCGCTCAGCACCGCTCAACATCGGCCAGACCCGCTTCAGTTGCCCTGACCGAACATCAGAGCACATTCACCCGCTAGGGCCGAAGTTTACCAGCTAACCGAATTGTTGGCTGCCACGCTCATGTTTCCATCCCGTCAAGGCTCTCACCGGAGACTAAGCAAGTAGCGCGGATTAAGATTTCAGACGAGAAAGGTTCCAGAAGATGGGGTTGCGAGATTGAGTTCTCAGCCTTGAAAAGAAAAAGGACTTCCATGGTTTTGCCGGGTGGTCCTTGCGTCATTGGCTCGATTCGAAAAGTGGTGGTCAAACTCGTAGCGCTTATCGATATGCACACCTGGAAGACTGAGCAAATTTCCTTTTAGTGATGGCCAACACGCGTTCACGTGCCTCCATCTGCAACGTATCGGCTAGCCAATCGCAGACTTTGAAGCTGTCGACTGCACAAACGCGTCCAGCTGCGCGACTACTCGAGTGCTAAATATGGAACCGCATACACGATTTGCTGTCACGGCGTGGCGCGATAGTCAGGAGCTGCTTCAGCTGCGCCAGGACCTGTACAGTCCAGAAACTAGTAGGAAAGAGAAAGCAGTTAACAAGGTAAGCTAAGATGGAATCACACGACCTACAGGGAGTACTTTTTCTGAGGTCCACAGCCACAGTGTGCTGATGAGAGGTAGGTGTTTGCTTGGCGACTACGGAAACCTGATGGATTGCCACTGCTGCTAGACTCGACAGCAGACATTGTGGATGTAGTGCTTCAAGATGCACGGGGCGGTTTGCAACACAACGCACTGCGGCTGCTGTATGCTACTGCGATATCAAGGTAGGTTTGTCGAATGTTGTGATCTAAAGAACATCCCACTCCCCAACTGTCTCTCTGTCCTGGATATGGGCGTGTTCAATGTGTCTCTAGATTCTGCATGTATTCTGTTCTTCTCTCCAATTCGTCCGATTTTCGAATCATCTCTTCTCTCTACGTTTTTGTCAAGTCCATGTCAATCCCATTATCACTTCTGTCTTATGAAGCACTGTTCACACCTTCTTTCTAACTCCCAATAGGTTCGTAACCGGCATAGCAGATACGCAAATTGACTTGACCCGCGACCGCCCCTCATGGTTCCCCCCAGGGAAATCCCTTCAACTCCCCATTACCCTCCTGGAAATCCGCCACCGCATCGTCCACCGGCACCTCCCTTCCCTCGCAGAGCTAAAGCGGGCTGCTACCGAGTCGCTCGAGTGGCTCTGGGAGTGGTACTGGATCCAACTGGACCATGCATTCAAGACCGGCAGTGCACTCGTCGCGGCAGAAGAAGATGAAGAACTCGGTGTCCAGAGCAGGGAAGCGGTGCGAGAGAAACTCCAGAGTATCCTCAAAGCATATGTCAAAGAGCGGAAAAGTGAGATCAAGAATAGGAAGAAAGACGACACCAAAGCTGCCGAAACAGCTCTGTCCACATACAATCTTCGTTTTGCCCCCAATGCTACGACGATACCTTCTTCGCACACACAACGCGCGCTACTAGAGCTACTAGTGCAAGGGAAGATGATATTACCCACGGATAAAAAGTTGGGCAGTACCATGTCTGGCGCATTTATCATCTGGACACCTTTGTTACGCGCTTTCTCCAACAGCGTCTTGAACTTTGCGGGACTGGTTGCGCATCTTACAGGTTTCATGAATGCTCTGTCAAGGGAAATGGTGCACCCGGAGATGGATCCTGTTCGGGAGGGTCTGCATGAATGGGCACTACATCTCCTCACGTCAAAGGACTGGGCAGCCTTGAGACAAACCGCGAAGAATGATGTTGTGGCACTGACTCTTAGTCACTGTTTCTCGGATCCTACATTTTGGAATTTGAAACTGGCTGACAAGTTACTGGAGGAGGGAAGTGTATCGAATGAGAAATCATGGCGGGCAGTGCTTGATGCTGCTAGGGCGGATGGGACTGGTGAGAAGATGGATGTCGATGTTCAAGTCGAGAGCATTGAGCGGGCCTTACCGGTTAGAGAAAATGAAGGCAAAGAGGATGTGGTCAAGAAGAAGGTCAAGGGGCCAACCAAGATGCTGGGCATGTGGAAACCCAAGCCTATCGGATGGTTGCCTCAGGGTTGGGAGGACGATGAATGAAGGGATCGACCTAAAAGTAATAGGGCATTCTGTCACTATGATGCAAATACTCGATTGGTACATGATTTGGGCAGACGTAGTAAGAAGAGTACCCGTCTTTGGGTAAAACGTAGATTGTTCGACCATGTTCGCTACACAATCATTGTCTGTGACCAAGTTTACTCTTTCGGTCACCCGTTCGCATTTCAGTATCTCCCCCGGTTTATTGTACATTGTAGTCGACTTGCAGACTACACATGTTTGAGTACACATGTTTGCTCTCTCGATTTTCTTAGGCGAGAAATGGGCGGAGGGGCGCATGGGTGTCTCATGTTTTGCTCCTTGGTCAGGCAACGTGCCTATCCTATCCTTGCTTCTCTTGTTGCCCAAGCTTATATCCAGCCATGCTTCATTCTTTATAACGAACTGGGACCCTTTTTTCTTTCAGATCATGAGATCGGGATCCGGCTGCCAAAGATATAGATCCTTATCCGCAGTCGCCAGCAGGTTGGTCCTCGGATTGTAACCGACAACAGCGCTCTTGCCCTGTCCTGGAAGCTTCTCCATAGGCTCAAGCATATTATTTGGCGTTGGTGGCTTGGAAATGTCCCAGACTAGGAGGCCATCTTCTCCACTGCCTCCAATCAGGAACTTGCCATCTGGCGTAAGGCACACATCGCCCTGTCCATTTGCCGGAGTATGACCATCGGGCTTGGCGCCCGTGGTATTTGTAGTGGAGGCGCTGGGTGGGAGACGCCCCGAGGAGCCAGTTTTGCGGTAGCAGAAATGTGTCAAGTCACCTGAGAAGGCGTCGAGGACGAAGTGGCCGCTTCCGTTTGTCGCAATGATCAAACTCTTGCCGTCATTGGTGAACTCAATCTTGGTCCAGTCGACCTTCTGGCCTCCCATGAAGCGCTGCTCCATGTCGAGGATGTCGAATGTTGCAAAGGGCGGCTTGTCGTAGTTGCGCATATCGTAAAGGAGGACGTTTTGTGTAGGTGGTGAGGCGATGGCAATGACGGTGGCAGAAGGATCGTAGGCAGCAAGGTAGGGTCCATGGAGGTTAAGCAGACCTACATAGTTTGGCGATTGCAGATTCCACAGGCGCACCGTGTTGTCCTTTGAGCAGCTTATGAAATCGTCCTTGGACGGACACAGGGCGATGGAGGTGACGGTGTCGCTGTGGCCCTTGAAGTAGCGGATGTACGAGTTGTCGTGTGTGGAGAGGAAGCGGATGGTGTCGTCGACCTTTGTACTGGCATAGATTATGCTCTGCGCATGGTGACTGAAGCGCGCCAGATGCACGCCGTACTTCTGGCTCTTGAGCTCCTTGGCGTGCTTGCCTTCTTTGCAATTGTAGATCTGGAGCGTGTCGTCGTCGCGTGCGACAATGGCTAGCTCGCCCGAGTCGTCAAAGTCGAGCGAGGTGACGGCGGTGCCCTGGCCGCCAGATTTGAAGCGCTGGCAAGTGTCAGTATACTGCGGACATGTGCACCTGTGTCTTGGTCTCACCCTCTGAGGCCGGAAGCTTGTTATGACGTCGCTGACTTTCTGTGTCGGCGGCCCTGCAGGCGGTGGAGGAGGGCCTCCGCCGGGCGTCGCTGACCCAGCCATGGCAGTGTTGGTCTCCTAGTCGTGTGCTGCAACAAGTGCATTCATCTCCACCTGCCCAGTGAGCGAATCAGCGCGGGTGCAAATGGACTACACGCGACGCGACGTGGGACAACTAGAGCCGGCGGAATGCGCTGAAGAGTTGCAACAAATGGAAAGAAGTGGGTCCAGGCCGTCTTACGTAGCTGCTGATCCCGATCCGAAACCGGAACGGGTCCTCGATTATTCACTTTCACCATTCCCCAGCATTGCCAATTTGACCGCAATCCGTCTACCAGGCCAGAGTGCGCCTGCTTTCACCTGTGCTCCTAATCCCTACATACCCCAGTCTTCTTCAATCCATGGTTGCGCCGTCACACACGTCATAGTCACAGTCGAATACATCTCCCGTACCCGGGCACTTTTCCGACCAGCTCGCGCCGTAGTCGCATAGAGCTTCACAATGTCTACAACTCTTGGGTAGGTGCTCATCTCCAGGTCCCCACACCATATGCTGTATACTAATGCCTCCCGAACAGCTCCTTCATCGCCGGCGGCATAGCAGCATGCGGTGCAGTCACAGTAACCCACGGCTTCGAGACCGTCAAAATCCGGTGCGCTTTCTCTCTCGAAACGCCTGCGCAACCAATTCGTTGACGATCGCCCAGTTTACAACTACAAGGCGAGCTTAAAGCGAAGACCGACGCGCCGCGGTTATACAGAGGTGTCTTCCACGGTGTGAACGTCATCTTGAAGAATGAAGGACCAAGAGGATTGCTACGGGGGCTTGGGTGTGCCTACATCTACCAGATGACCTTGAACGGCTGCCGATTAGGCTTCTACGAACCCATTCGCAAGACCCTCACCAACGTCGTCTACAGCGACGCGGCCGTACAATCCTTTGGCATCAACCTCTTTGCAGGTGCTTCATCTGGCATTCTGGGTGCAGCAGCCGGCTCTCCATTCTTCCTCGTAAAGACGCGCCTACAATCTTACTCACCCTTCCTGCCCGTCGGCACACAACATAAATACAAAAACGCCATCGACGGTATGCGACAAATATACAGCGCCGAGGGCATCAAGGGCCTGTACAGAGGTGTAGGGCCAGCCATGGTCCGCACAGGTTTCGGCAGCTCTGTACAACTTCCCACATACTTCTTCGCCAAGAGGAGGCTGGTAAAACATCTGGGTATGGAAGAGGGAATGCCGCTGCATATTGCTAGCAGTACCGCGAGCGGCTTCGTCGTATGCTGTGTCATGCATCCTCCAGACACAATCATGTCGCGAATGTACAACCAGACCGGCAACCTATACACATCGGCATTCGACTGCTTGAGCCGAACAGTCAAGACAGAGGGTATTTTCGCTCTGTACAAGGGCTACTTTGCCCATCTGGCGCGTATTCTGCCACATACGGTATGATGGCACAACTAGACAAGACAAGCGAACTATTGCTAACCATCGAGTAGATCCTGACTCTTACACTCGCTGAACAAACCATCAAGCTCATGCGTTTGGTAGAAGACCGGATACTGCCCGCAGAGACCAAAGCGAACATGTGAGTAGAGACTGCTTGGCGGCTGTAGGCTAGACGCACACATTGCCTATACATGCCCGGCGTCAGATACGGCGTATGAGACTTTACGAGACAACATGGTTCAATGCGACTCGTAGGACTAACCGCGAGATGATGGCGGAACACTTTGTACAAAAGTCGAGACTGTTGAGAAGAAGAGTTGGATAGATACTGACACCAATACCAGCTAGCAGGTGACCACTGTATATTTTGAATATGAGAATATCCCTCGCATCACCAACTCTTCCGATTTGCATTCTTCCGCGACAGTTGGTCATCTTGGGAGAGAAGCAGTTGAAGGAGCAGATATGGCTGATGCTGACTTGATAGCCAATCGACAAGTAAAAGCCATTGGCCAATTGTTCGTGACACGAATCGGTCGGCTGACTTGTAGTCAGATGAAATCTTGGTATGCAAATCGGTCCATCCTCGTAGGAATGAGTAGCGTGTTGGAGTTCTTTTCCGTTATCCTCTTTACGAACACAACATATCTTCTTCGCCCGAATTACCTTTTTTGGGCTGTATTCTTCACCGTTCAGGAGATACCTGGATAGCTGCCAAGAGCGGGACGGGAATGCCCTCTCGGGCCATGAGCGTGATCGTATACTAAGATCTTGACCCACTCGCCAACTGTATTGGAAAACTTCTCCGACGAATCATAATCTAAAGGAATGTGATGTCAAAGAGCTTGTCATCGGTGCCTGACACAAACCAAGTTTGCAGTCGTGACATGACTGTGTACGTGGCGCTCATTTGATTCATCGTATTGCTTTTTGTCGGTAAAGAATGAGTTTTTTTCCAACGCACACTGAGCCTCATCCTCATGCATGGCGCTACGAATGCAGTTGGGTCGTCATGCGTTGCGTCAATTTTCGGACGAGGAGCCGAGTTGAGTGCCCCTGTTTACGCACACAAAGCCGGCGCCTGCCTTTCTCGTAAACGACAAGGCGAGTGTGGAAGCCGCCGATGCGCGAGTTGGAGAGTAGATTTTGATTCTGACGAGGTTAGGGCTCGTGACTACTTGCAGTTTGACGATGATGCTGAGCGAATGAGGTGAGGATGCGTGGTTGCGCAACAGTGCGGAGTGCAGGAGATGCTGCAGCAAATGCAGCGTAAGCTGGAGTGCATGGTTGGAGTGCGGGATTGGAGAGCAGGAAACGTAAGTTTGTTACACAAACAGACGAGCAGAGTGTGAGCACGACAGCAAGTATTGCGCTGTCGTCCGCAGTGCGCCGTGGTCCGCAAAGGCGAAATGTCTTCTCCGCGGATCAAGGTACGTGTCTTGGAGGCGATTTAGATGTTTGCAGAACGGCGATCGACTTTGAGGGAAGCGACACACAGCCCGTCTGTTGCAGACGTTGTTACCGCCGAGGATCGGGTTTTACGGGGTGCTGTTTGAAAATGTCGCTCAGAGATCCAGACATATTCGTGATGGAGAGAATGAAGCAATGTGCCCCGCTATTGGGCGATCTTACGCCTATGTCGTGCAGCTTGAGGTCGAGGGGAGCCGACTGGTAGCACAACCTCAGGGTTCTTGGATCGTCGGTGCTCTAGACCCTGTCAGGCTATGATTTGGAGATCAGAACTGTCATCATTTGGTGGTTGCGTTTGCTGTACCCGCGGGGCGCTGTCATCTGCTTGCGTTTGACAGGGTCAGCCTGACTCTTCGTGCTGAGAATGATGACATGTTTGCAAGCTCTTCATCCTCGATGGCAAAAGCATGGTGTTGCTGTCGTTGGCTGCAGTGAAGGATTTGTGGCCTGGGCTGATCTGCGTCTCTTGAGGAAGAGCGACAGGGTTCTGGAGACGGGAACCCCTGAAGCTTGAAGCCTCACTTCGAATCAAGTTTGGCCATGATGAAAGCATCTCTGGAGACCTTCTCCGATCAGCGCCCATCTCCTCCTCGTCTGCTCGTGTGCGCCTCTTCTCTCAAACACGAAAAAATGTCCGCTTTCGCCTCCGAGTTCAATGCTGCAGCCTCACGAACACAACCTTGACCGATGTCGAGGCAGAATCTTATGTGGTCAATCCATAGAGTGCGTGTCTGGACCCAGTGGCTTGCGAATGCCTTCTCACGTTGTCCAGTAAGATATCGAAGTGGTGATTCCACTAGCGGTAGTGTGGCAGATGGCTACTGGGGTTCTCCGCATCTTGCCCATAGCGCTGGGTCATCCGCTCTTTCCTGCAGTCTCTCTAGCGATATTATTAGCCCCTCTCTGCACCAGACAGAATACCATTTCCATTGTCGCCGACTGCTTACTTTCCCTGACATCGACAGCGCCTCGCTGGCGAGTCATTTCTTCGTTCGATATTACAGTCAACATCGCAACGTGTGTCACGCGTATGCCATATCCGATATCGTCTTGGGCTCTCAGCGGTGTCTCGTGACAGGTCCCGACCTCGATATTGGACGCTTTGCACCCAAGCTAAGATCCGCCCTTCCCTAGCACAGTGTCGCTGGATCCACATCCATATGTGAATGTTGCGCTGCATCCGCACGGCAAATCACCTCCTCGACAGTTTGGACTAGCATCACCAAACCTCGCCACTGCTAGATCAATACTGGTGTGCGAGAATGCCGGTTCGCATCATCAGCTCCATCTTCCGAAGACAGTGCATGAGGTTGGGCAACGGAGGATGATGCCTGGCGCTGCTGAGTATCCCACGCCACACACTCGACGATTCGAGAATTTACTTCCTATTGAAGGATCAACTTTGCACTTCAATATCCTTTCACGGTCCACTATGAACCTCACCTTTCTGCCTCGCCAACCACTACGTGGATCCAAGAAGCGCACCCGAGCGGTGGCTGATATCGACGGCGAACATTCGTGTGTACAGAAGAAGAAACGACGACTTCGATTATTCCTTATCACTTCTCGGTTATCGCCACAATTCTCTTTTCCAGCAACCAACATTGTGGATCGCGGCAGCTCCAAGATTGCAGTATGGGCCAAGCAGAAGGCACTTGGGCGGAACCTGCTCAGGAAGGCCGCCATCCTGAATGGGGTACGCAGACGATTGATTCTGACCAAAGAAGCACAGAGCGGATGTGGTCGTGTACCAGTCGAGCAAGAGAGAGAACAAGCACAACTTGAATTAGCGAGGCTGGAGTTCAACCATGGCAGTGTTGACACTTACACCAGACCAGTATTGTCGCGAGATCCGTCAGTACCACCCAGTGCTGCTGTGAGGACTGGGGGCCACTTTGTAGTCTCTGGATCGCCTACAAACTCTCCGCCCTCATCAAGAAGTCCTTCGCCTACCTCGTCTTCACCAACAACAAGGGACTCCCCTGATGAGGCTGCCGTCTTCCGCTCGCCAAATGAAGCATGGTCTCACTCCGCGAGAGATACGACATCACGCCGAGACTACCTACCTATGCCGCCATCGCCACTTGGAATCTCGAATTATGATGCTTTTGATGGCGATGGAGATTCGTTCGACCCGTATGCTCATCTCGACGACGAAGACGAGCCAATACCAAACCCTTACGACGACGATAATGATGATGACGTGCCTTTCTCGCCATCTGTCGTCACCGCCGGCTCGTCTACCACTTCACACACCGGCACTACGAATGCAACCATGTTTTCCGATCTTATCGGGTTGGATCACTCAGAATCAGTATTCGGAGATTACGACCAGGTAGACGACGGCGCGGATGCCATATGGCCGAGGGTATCTACACCGGGTAGCCCAAGTCCTACACTTATGTCAACATCGCCAGACGTCTCTGCCTTGTTTGCAACATGCTTGGTTGCACCCAAAAGAACGGATTCGTTTGCCATGTCGCCTGATCACCGTCCACGCAAGCTGACTAAATCTGTGTCCCCAGAGATGCTTGCGGTGACCACTACAGCGGCCACTTCTCCGAATTTCACGTCTGCATCACCAACCATGCCGGCTTCTCCTAATTTCATACCAACAACAGTACCAATGTCACCAAATTTCTCTCTTGCATCGACGTCACCAAACTTCGCCTCGTCGACCGCGACGGCATCGATATCCCCGAATTTCTCATCATTAGCTGCTCCAGCCTCACCAAATTTCCCACCGATACCGAAGTCGCCGAATCTTAGTGCACTCGACGCATCCATGACAGCACAAAACCCATCAGCATGGAACCACCCGGACACACATTCGACAGAAGCAGGCGGATCTGTCCATACCAACGATGTGGAACAAGAGCGCAGACGGCAGAGGAACTTGATGTTCATGCGTTTCGGATCATGAGTGGTGCTATGGCCATTTTGTGTATCTACTAGATGTGTCGTATATCATGACAACAGAAAGTCTCACAAAACCCACATGCAATCGGTTTTGAGAAAAGGAAGCTCATCCTCAATGGATATCTGGAACGAAAATGACCCATGTGGTCTTACTGCCATCAGTATGTACTTGTACGATTAACAATCAAAAGCGCGGAGTATCAGGAACGCAAAAAGGACAGGCAAAAAAAGGAAGGAGCGGTTCTCTGTACCACCACACTGGGAACGATCGGCATTCGGTACGGTTTTATAAACGAGCATTTTGGCGTATGGGTGTATTCTCGTAGCAATATTTTGCATTTATCGCGTCGAAATGTACACGTCCAATCTCGCTTTGTAAAACAATTCAGGAAGAAGCATGTACCATGTGGCATATAGTTAAAACACGTCTTTCAATGAAAGATCAACATTGTAGTTCAATACTGCTGCAGAAGCTCTGAACGTGATCGATGCACCTTTATAGTGCTACCTCAACTTAAACCGGAGCTTGGTTAGAGTCATCATAGCAAAATCCGTTCCTCTTCTCGAAGAGTACAATCTACGCTTTCTGCAGCTTCGATGCTCGGTCAAGAGCTATATCACACATGGCCTGAATGGCCTCTTGACGCTCAGCTCTGATATCGCCACGGTCGATACGAGAGCGAATATTCTCCATGATTTCAGGTCGCGGACGGCCATTGACGAAGACACTACATAACCGTCAGTAAATTATCAACCGTGAGCTCAAGGGAGATTTCACATACACATATCTCAAACCCGGAAACTTCTCTTCGTATTCCTTGTTCAGACTTGCCAATTTCTCTTTCTCTTCCTCTGCACCTGCCTGCAATTGCGCCTGTTCTTTCCGGCTCTGCTCGCTGTCTACTTTCTTCTCGCCCAACCTCGGATGCGAGCAGAGTATCTCAGAAAGCTTCTTCACATCGCTTTCATCAGTTGACTTGGCCAGCGCAGCGAGTTGCGCATTGACAGCGGTAATCAAGATGTCATAACTGGGGAAAGTGGCAGACCTCAGTACGGGGAAAGTGATCTCGCGGAGGGGAGGCGATGGCTCAAAGAGTAGGTCTAGAACGCTTGTGAGTTCGGATTCGGAGGCATGGGGGAGTGTGCTAGCAGCTGGGAGTGATGTCATTGTCGAGGTTGAGGCAAAGTGACGAGTCGGATTTAGCGTGTATTCGGGAGAGCCGTTAATTGCTTTTCGCGATGCGTTTAGTTTGGGACCGGAATCTTCGGGCTAGCTGGGTACTGAAACTATTCGAAAAGTTGACGTTGGTCGAATGTTGATGGAGAAGCGGAAGACTTGTAGAACATTTGCTTGCTATTCAAACTCTTTCTTGCTGCGGCCGCTACCGACCGATCAGCGATGCAGTGCAGGCTCGGTGGCCATGACCAACAACCTGCATGGTGTTGCTGCAAGCTGCAAGGGGATAGCGGGGCAGTCGGACAGTAGCAGTCGAGCTGTCCGACGGACCATTTCTAGCTTTTTTCTTAGTCCCGACGCGTACCATGTTTTGAAGTAAACAACGGACGAAGCTTGTTTATACTGTATGCATGAGTCTTGTGTCTTTTAACAAGTTCCGGCAAGTTCCCACCGGCCTCAACAAGTGATGGTGGTGCGAGGTAAGCGTGTGTATACTGGGATGGCTTGTTGCAAGAATCTGGAGTGACTAAAATAGCTGCGAGATGCCATCGCGTTCGTATTTAGCCAGGGGGATGCCGACAGAAGAGTGCGATCTGCTGCTGGGTTCAGCAAAGTTGCACCTGAACAGCTGTTTGCTTCTTTCCCACCCCGCCTTGTTGTCGGCGGGTTACCGGCGGCAGAAGCAACGGATGGCTGTCATAGCGGGTGCGTCCATGGGATTGATCTCATCGCACTGGCTGTGACCTGGGACGCCTCAGGACTATCGGCGGCCTGGTGCATTGTGCCTGCGTTAATGCGGTTCCTGCCTAGACATCAATGCGTGGACTGCCGCATGGCTCTGGTGACAGCACCCGTGGAGCCCAAGTACGCGCCTGTACGACGACGTGTTGCTGAAGAAAAAGAAAAACGCAAACGCATTCTTGTGGGATGTCATATGATGAGTGCGGGAGCCGTTTATGTCGGTGAATCAGGCGCTCTGTGCTGGTGCGGAGATATAGCCCTGGCCAGCTCCCGGGCTGCGCGTACTGTAGTTAACAGGGGTTGCCGTCGCTTCGTGTTTCAGGTCTCCACGCTCTTCGTCAGTCGCCTTCACCCATCCTCCCTCTCAGCTTAAGCTTTTGAGGGTGCTAGGCGGATTGCAACGGTACATGTTCCTGAAGCGTCCATTTGCCTCGACGCACAGCGCTGCCCCAATGGCCGGTTATCCGCCTCTGATACTCGACGGATCCCTGATTTGAATTCATGACCCCTACTTCGCTTTGACCTCCTGGAATCACGCTCGTCGACTGCACCCGCGACGACAACGCCGTCTCCTCGCAGACGACGACACGCACGGCTTTGAGAGTCTGCACCGCGAAGCGTCTCTTCCTGGCCGACTTGCACCATCATGTCGCTGAACGGCCTGGACAATGTCGAGGTAACACAGGCGTACCAGGGTGCGCTCGCCGAGGCTGGTGGTTGGTAAGACATGCCCAATTTCTTCTTCCATCGCGGACCACGTGCTAATGCTTGGGGTAAAGGTTCCTGCTCAGGTACACGTCAAGGGATGCCGTTCAAGTCCTGACACGGGGAACTGGGGGAGCCGGTGAGGCGCGCGCTGCCGTCGCCCAGTACGAGGAAAAGTCTCCGCTGTACGGGCTCCTGCTGTACCGTCGGCGCAAGGTCCTGGTCAAATACGTGCCTGAGGGGACATCGCGACTACTGCAGGGTGAGTTGAAGCGTCAATCCCGTCACCCTCACCACTAACCCTCGACAGCCCGCGTTAGTGTCCACTTCATCAACATCACCGAGAAGTTTGCGCCCCACGACATCGTCCTGTCCATTTCCACGCCAGAAGAGCTCAGCGATGCCGCCCTTACCGCCGCCTGCAGTCTGCACACTGCCGCCCCATCGAGCTCCTCGTCTAGCGGATCGTCGCGACAGCAGAAGCTCAGCTGGATACAAGAGGCCGCAGAGGAGGGAAACCAGCCCGACGGAGAAGGCAATGCAGCACGACCGGGCACAGCAAAGTCCAACATCCCCACCATTCTGGAGCCTGCCACGGGCAGCGAAGACGAGCCTATTAGAAGCGGATCAGTTGCGTCGCAAGCAGAGACGGTCCCGTTGATGTTGGAAGAGAAGGCTGTCGAGCACAAGTTGTCACCACAGATCTCGCACGTCACCATGGAGACGGTAACCGAAGGGCCGACGACGCCCGACGACACTGATCTATCCGACCTCCAGGACACGCTCAAGAGCTATGATTCGCTCTTTGAGAACGGACCAGAACCGCGAGGCTCATCACAAACCACCAGGCCAAACTACGACGAGCTTTATCAGCACTACTATGAGCAGTACACCAAGCCCAAGGTCAAACTCGGACCACGACCGCGACCATCGCTCGAAGGCCGAAGACCATCTACCTCTGGCAGCGCACCGTCAGATCTGGCAAGGCCTGTTTCGTCGCTTCCCGCAGGCTTGCGCTCTGCAACACGAAAGACTGCTAATAAGAAAGAGTCCAAGACAAACTCCTCTAGCACCCTCCCCACCATTGCTATTCCTCCACAACATGACGTCCCTCCGATGCCTGACATGCCACTGTCTCCTGCTTCGTCCATGTACTCAACGAGAGCCCCAGCCAGCACCAAGTCCATGCCCGTGTCCGCGTACAAGAGTCACCTTCGGTCTGGAGGAACGACACAGGAAAGGACAAGGCTTATGAAGGCTGTCGAGATGCGCAAGAAACAACAACAGGCTCAACAGCTAAAGAAAGAAAAGGCCGCCGAAGCTGCTGCGTTGGAACCTGAAGCGCAGGCTGAGGACACCGAAGTTGTGACTGAAGCTGGTGACGAGAACCCGGCAAAATCTGCCGTTCCTGCGACTGAGTCTGAGGAGAGCACTCCCACGGTACAGACAGATGACGAACCCGAAGCCGACAAAGAGACACTGCTTGGTGATGATCTGCCTTCAAACCGTCCAAGCAACTCCGGCATGGCGTTTGCGGATGGTCAGAACGAGACAGACGACTTGAACTCCACTGCTTCGGTGTCGTCACCAATATCTGCACAAACTCATGGTTCTTCTGGCGCACCTTCAACACGACCATCATCCATCTCAGAAGACGAGGCAGGTATGGAAGAGTCGCAAAAGTCCGAGGAAAACGAAGAATCACACAGTCCGGATTCCTTGGATGAAGAGCAATCGATCGACAGCGCACCGACTGTAGTCCCTGAGAGTACTACTCCTGTACCATCTGCAGAACTCCACCCTGAGCATACACAAGCCCCGGTCATCACCGAACGAGCACCGTCTTTTGATGAGGATGGAAGTAAAAGAGATACCCTGCGGCCAAGTGAGAACGATGCTCCATCGCAGCACCGCTCGAATCGGGAGTCCACAATTTACATGCCTTCGAGCGAAGCGTTCGAGCAAGACGATGGCCAGGTCAAGAAGCGAAACAGGGAGTCCATGCTTATGCCCTCATCCCAGCACCAGAGTTGGTACGAAACCAAGGGAAAGCGACGTGCAGTATTGGATCCACTGCAAGTCAGCGCCGACAATTCCGAGACCGAGTACCTCTCGGACGACTCCTTCATGGAAGAGCTCCAAAGCGCTACAGTACACCAAGCCAAACCCATGTCGGTGTCCAAGTCTCCGATTACGCCCTTCTTCCCGCGCAAGTCCTCTGCAACAGACCTGTCAACACCTCCCAGATCAGCCTCTTCGAATTACCACGGTATCAGTCGCTTATCACCTGGAGAGAGCACCCGTAAGGTTTCAGGCGGTTGGCCTCCTGCGCCAAAATCCGACACGAGCGCGCGTACGAAGATCAACGTTTCCTCTGGCATCTCGCAAAGAATCAAAGCGCTTGCAGACAAGACTAACAGAGAGTCGGCTTCACAAGTAAGCCTTGCTAGCTCTGCTTTGAGCACAAAGAGCTCTACCCTCGCCCAGCGTAAATCCTCATTCTTTGCAACAACACCTGTCGAGACCTCACCCAACGGGAGGTCTAGCACGCGTCTTGGAAGTCCTGCGTTCTTGAGTTCATCTGCTTCAACGACGCCTGACAAAAAGAAACAATCGGCTCCGATCAAGTCGACAGTATACAACGTACAGCGAGGAGCCGAAAAGCCAGAGTCTGTGCAGGTCACTGCCCGCATCGTCCGGGATGAGCGAACCATGAAGCCAACACTTGCGATGCCAACTGAGGGCATGCCCCTTGATCTCCACCAAAGCCCACTCATCATCGACCACCAAAAGGCAACCATCACCCCCAAGAGCCCTACTCGTGGAAGACCTGAGCCTGCATCTCCTCCGCCCTCTTCGTCACACTCACGCGAGCCTAGCAATGCGCCCTCACGTGCATCGTCAGAGAGTACATGGAGGAGCTTCGGTCGCCGCATGAGCGAGTCCAAGTCGGTACACAGCCATGATGGCGAAGACAAAAAGGATGACAAGAAAGAGAAGAAAGACAAGAAGGATTCTCGCACCAGCAAGATGTTCAAACGCATGTCTTCTTCGATGGCTGCCATGTCCTTCAAGAACTCGAGCAGCAACTTGACACTTCCCGAGAACGACATGCGCTCTACTTCTTTGGCATCACTGCGGGAGCCGCCGCCACCTGTGCATGTTGGCGATCTGAACATCCAATTCCCGGACACTCTGGTGGGTATATTTATAAATAGTAACTTTCGAAGACATGCTAACCTGGTGCAGCTCTGGAAACGCCGATGGGTCGAGATTGATGCCCTAGGTAACCTCGTGCTCAGTCCTTCGAAACACAATGAGAAGGGCATTGTGAAGCGCTTTCACCTCAGCGACTTCCGCACGCCATACCCACCTGATCAGGATCGACAAGAACTTCCCAATAGTGTAGTCCTCGACTTCATGGACGGACGAACCTTGCAGTGCGCATGCGAGACATACATGGCGCAAGCTCAGGTTCTACAAAGTAGGTCTTTGTCCTCCAATTCCTTGTGTCAGGTGCTAACTATTGTCTAGTCCTCCGGGAGGCACATGATGCCTGGCTTGCGTACAACCAAGCGCTGTAATCGGTCGCTATCACGTCAATCTCCAACCCTAGGCCTCGACGGCATCAACACTCTCCTTTCCCTCTCTCGAATTTTCTTTGTTACGACGTACGACTACAGCATCAGGCATCACCTTTCCCTTGTTGTGTTGGATACAAAATGGTTTTAAACTGGGGTTGTATCTCTCTCCTTGCATCCTTTCGATTAAATTTTGTCTAGTTTGCCCATTTTCCTTTCATACCCATCGTGTTTGGGGAGGCCATCTGGCAGGCTTGGAGCTCTTTCATTCTCTTCTTCATGTAACACACATGGTTGATGTGTATAATATCTAATGCTGCACTGGAGGCAGCTCAGTTTTGCTGTTTCTGGAGTGTGGACGGATTGCAATGAAAGGCGGACTGCAAGATATAGAGATCAGTAACACAATTGGACTACGTGCCTGTTATTGGACTGTGTGCCTGTCGTTTTTGCTTGTATTAGGTGGCGCCCGTTCCAAATGCAGGTGAACGAGAGGGGCGCATTAAATCTCCGGCTCAAAGAGGGATAATGTGGCAGCGATTGTGATGGATTTATCCAAAGTGTTGGGCAAGATGGCTGGCGTCAGATCTCGCCCTGAGCTGTGCACAGTCGCGCATGGGGTGCTCTCGGCCGTAACAAGTTAGCGGCTCAGATCCGCAGGGGTTAAGCGACGCCTGCCGTCATACATGCATTCCCATGCATTCGACATGTGCATTCGATAGAGAGCTCGGTATGATAATGATGAGGTGCAAAAAGGGCCTTGGGGCCGCAAGCATGCCTCTAGCTGCTACCCGAGAGTCGCCCTCAACCTCGCTCTTAGCTCCACGCCATAAGCAGCGACGACAAGAGAACGCGCCCCGAGGACTCCGCATCTGGGCATCCCAGAGCAAGTGACACCTTGCTGCGCCGGTTTTCCGCCCCGTCTCGCAGCGCATCCTGCAGCCTCGAAGTAATCGCTGCGAGGGTAACCCATTCTGTTCACAGCAGCCGTCATTGCATTGTCACGAGCCTCGGCGCCGTGTGCCCGCCAGGCACGTCAACCAAGAAAGAGGAGGGCTGCGCATCGGTGTGCGCCTTCTATAAACACTGCCCGGCACCTCCGCGCTTCCCTCCACCATGCCGGCCACTTCCCCAAACCACCCTTTCGCCTCGCCCAACGCCATCCCGCCCCGCACAAGCTCCACGGGCATCCTCAACTTGAACGCGAACACGGGTGCCGCCAAGCAACCTTCCAGAACCAGCGTCCTGCGTCCCCTGAGCGAGATTGATTGGTTGGGCCAGAGCAAGAAAAGCAAGACGAGCCACTCTGCAGACTCTTTGAATGCGCCTTTCCAACCACAGTCGTTACAACATCCCTGGCCCCAGACCATGGCCTCGCAGCTGAACTCACCTCCCCGCACCGAGCACACAGACATGGATTCGCCCATGGACAATGCCCAAGCAGCCGTCAGCCTCGAAGCCACCACAAACTACCCGACGCCACTCTCTCCACCATCAGAACACGCAAAGGACATAGGCGAGGAGCTCATCTACGGGAATGGCGTCGCGTGGACAGAAGCCAAGGAGCGCATATTACTGGGGCCGTACGACTACCTGTATGGGCATCCCGGCAAGGATATACGGAGTCAGTGTATTGCGGCCTTCAACCTGTGGCTGAAAGTGCCATCAGAAAGACTGGAGATCATCACAAAAGTAGTGGGCATGCTACATACCGCGAGTTTACTGTAGGCATACATCCTCTACGCTCACCCCACCCCAACTAACGTTGCCTAGTGTCGACGATGTAGAAGACTCCTCTCTCCTCCGCCGCGGTATCCCGGTCGCTCACTCCATCTTCGGAACCCCACAAACAATCAACTCGGCAAATTACGTCTACTTCCGCGCCCTGTCCCTTCTGCTCTCCATGAACAACCCGAAACTCATCGAGATATTCACCGAAGAGCTTTTGAACCTGCACCGCGGACAGGGTATGGACCTATACTGGAGAGATAGCTTGACCTGTCCAAGTGAGGCAGATTACCTAGAGATGGTCGGAAACAAGACTGGCGGCTTATTCCGATTAGCAATTAAGCTCATGCAAGCCGAGTCGAAAACAGACATGTACCTTGTCCTTTCCCAATCCAATCCACACCTCAACTAACCCATCTTTTAGTGACTGCACACCCCTCGTATCAACGATAGGCCTCCTCTTCCAAATCCTAGACGATCATCTAAACCTCTCCCCCACATCCGGCTACACAACTCTCAAGGGCCTCTGCGAAGACCTCACAGAAGGCAAATTCAGCTTCCCTGTCATCCATGCCATACGCGCCGATCCAAGCAACCAGATCCTCATCAATATCCTCAAGCAGAAAACTACAGACGAGGAGGTCAAGCGGTACGCGTTGAGGTATATGGAGAGTAAAGGGAGCTTCGAGTATAGCAAGGGTGTTATTGAGGAGCTGAGGAGCAAGACGGATGAGCATGTTAGAGTTATTGAGAGAGAGCTGGGACAGGAGGGGAGAGAGGGCGCGGAGGCGTTGAGGGTTATGCTGGCGAGGTTGGTGTTGAAATGAAGGACGTTTGTCACGCTCTGCATTTCAGCGCTCATTGGATACCATGATGACTGGTGGATTTAATGTCGGCATGTCATGGCTTTACGAGGCTTACGTTGAATGATGGGAATGTGTACATGTCTGGTGGTAGACGCCTTAATACCCAATGTACCGCTGGTTTGTGTACATAATAATGAGATGTGATTTGTAAGAGCTGGTGAGTTGGATTGGGAGGGCTTCCTATAATTCAACGAGACTTGACTCCATGTTCGGGCTCCTACTCATTCATCACTTGGTAAACGTGATAGTGAGAACTTCAAGCATGTGCCAGATACATGTCTAACTACAAGCTCATGATAGAACCTATTAAGCTCTGCACCGTCTCCGTCTGCCCCTACCTGTCCCCTTACCCCACCAATTGTCCCACCAATTGTCCCACCAATTGTCCGATATCATTCCTGATCTTCATGAAGTCGTCAGGCATGCTCCATCATCATCTCTTCCTAAAAACTCACTGCTCGTCTGCCACCGCTTTTTTGGCGGCTTTGATCTTCTTGACCGTAGGCGCCATAATCCGCTTCTGTTGCGCACCAAGAGACTTCCTCAATGCTGCCCTAAATTCTTGATGCTTCTGTTCGTTGGACATTGCGCTAGACGAATGACGATAAGAACTTTGAAGGACGTCGAAATGATCCTCGCTGAACTTTATGATATCGACTACAGCATCGACTTTGCCTTGTGCTAAACCAATAGCTTCCATCCATGGGAATGCGTCCCGGTAGAGTTGCTCAGCTCCATACTTGGACGCTCGATACCAACCGATGCTCGCATCAATATGGAAGGCGGTGATATTGGTAGCCCAGACCAGGGCCGCGAAACCTAGATATTGGAGTACGAGGTCAGCATGTATCCCACATGCAGTGGACACGAGAAAAGTACTAACAGGAGTGATTGTATCCTTTCATTGCACGACCATAAAGCCAACCTCGAATGCGGAGAGTCTTAAGATGTTTGGCGCCTCTAGGACCAAGGTTGATCAAGAAGCTGTACAAGGCGAAGCTGTTGGTGAAGACGAATTCGTTCTTGCCGTACAGAATATCGATACACTCTTGGTGGATTTGCTTGCTCACAGCAAGGAGCGACGGGACAAGAGCGGCCGGTTGTTCGTGTTGACTTCTAATATTGTCGTTTATAGGAAGTGCGCCTGACCAAGGTCCGTCGTGTGATATGCTCGCCTGGCACTTGGCTGAGATGCGTTCGACAGTACGGCGCTTGTGCTTGAACGTGCCGACAAGGTTGATACCAGCAGGATCGGTAAGAGTGTACTCATAGATTATGTTCCTGATCTCTGCAGGAAGCTCCATGAAGGGGAAGATTTTGCGTTTGGGAAGTGGTCTGGAGCTTGCCTTGGTTGTTCGCTTCTGATGGACGCTCGTCAGTCTTCCCACTTCCCGTCCACACAGAAGTACATCGAACCTTTGCCTGTGGTGTATCAAAGTCGGATTCGGATTCTGAATAGTCTAGATCATCGAGATGGTATGTGACCTGGGTTCTCTTGCGCTTCGAGTAGCGTCCAGACGCAAATGTCTCTACTGGGGCGTTGATATCGGTCATTGTGGATCGTTCTTAAGTCAATTGCACTTGAGTCGGAATTTTGAAGTTTTGGAAGGGAACAGAACGCGTATGGTAGTAATGAGACACGACAAGACGCGTGTTTGGCCTTCTTTAATAGATCTCAGCGATGAATGTCGCGTGGTCAGCTGTTGTACGCTTTGGGATTAGCTTAGGCAACGATACGGCGAAGCCAGGGTTAGCAAGGCATCAACCTGACGGCGTCGATATCTTCAACAGATTTTGAGCATGATTCGTGGGCAGCTTATCAAATTCGTATGCGCCCAAAACCATGACGATGTGTGGAATGCAGCGTTGAGCGTTTAGGAGAGAAAGTGCAAGTTGAGAATGTCCCAAGGTTGCGTCACCAGGCTTAGTCATTGGGCCCACTAACCGAAACGAGAGGCGGGCAAATTATCGCACACCATCCTCAGCAACATGTCTTCGATAAAATCGCTTACGTCGTTCAAGCTTGACCTGCCTCCTAGTTGTATTGAGTTCTTCCCGCTAAATCCTCAATATGCGATAGTCGGCACGTACAACCTCGAAAAAGAGGATGAGAAGGAATCTGCGGGTAGTGCTCCGCACGATGGAAAAGTGAGCGCCAAAAATCAGCAGCGTAATGGCAGTCTGATATTGGTACAAGTTGATGGTGACATCGTGTACGTGAGACAGCCTGCAAGTTCAATGTAGCAGCTTGGACGCGGTCAAACTCGGTACTGACGTCGAGCAGTAACATCATCCAAACCCTATCTACGCCATCAGCTATCCTGGACATCCATTTCTTGACACATGTTACTAGCTCCAACTTTGGTGTTGCGACATCCACGGGGGCTTTTGCCATCTATGAGCTCCAGTCATGGCAGCGAGACCCCAAGATCGCCCACATCAAGACCATCCAGTACTTTCCAGAAAATATTCTCATCACCGCTTTTACCTGGCACCCGGAATCCTTCATGGTCGGTATGACGCTTTCGAATGGGCAGGTGTGTCTCGGCGTAATAGATACGGAAGACGAATCTGATGCGCCGACGAAGATGGAGGTCGCTTCACATGACCTGGAAGCCTGGACTCTCGCTTTCCTACCGGATGGCTCGGGCCTGCTGTCTGGCGGAGACGACAGCGCCCTTCGTTTTGCTGAGCTGTCGGACGGCTCTGGAGGAAGCGTACCTTGGATGGATGGGAAGATACATGATGCTGGCGTCACTGCTATCCTCCCAGTGCATCTTGATAGTGAGGGTGGCTTGATAGTGACCGGCAGCTACGATGATCATATCCGGCTTCTTCATGTACCCATCTCTGGCCGTCTTCAGGTTCTTGTGGAAGCCAATCTCGGTGGTGGCGTATGGCGGCTAAAGCTGTTGGACCGAAACCCCAAGCTGCCAGCGCATCACGGCGTAGAGAAGTGGAGATCAGAGCCACCGCCAGAAGCTATCCTACTGCTTGTCAGTTGTATGCATGCTGGCACCAGGATTGTAAGGCTTACCAAGAGCGCTTCCAAGGATTGGCAAATTGAAGTGCTGGCCAAGTTCGAGGAGCATGAGAGCATGAACTACGGTAGCGACTCTCAACCAGATCTCAACAGTCAAGGCCAACGGACGTTCATATCTACGAGCTTCTATGATCGGCTACTGTGTCTTTGGAGATATTAGTCGCCAGCAACAGGTAGTCAGACTCCAAGGATAAGTAAACACACCAAAGATTACGCGTGGAACAAGCTGACTATATTTGGGATGATATATTTATTAAGAAGTAGCATACAAGTCGAAGAACATTGCCTAAAAGAAACCTGACTAGTAGAATCCATGCGAACAGGAAACCTATGCCTGACAACCCTCGCTGCTAAAACTCAATTCGGCCCACAACCCTGAACAGGTACGTAGTTGTTGTACGGACTATTGTCCGCGTAGGCAGGCATGTCGTGGGACTTGTCGTCGTGAAGCTTATGCTGGAAGCCGTCGTTGAAGCTAGGGGCAGCGATATCGTTGTCGAACGAGGACTTGACGCTATCACTGACGGAAGCGCCTAAGGCAGGGTGGTCAGGAAGGTGACACAAAGAGGGTGATACCATCCTGACGGTATCAAGCTGCTACGGAGGAGTGACGGGTAGACCGACAGCAGAATCGGAACTCGGTGTACGACTTGGCCGGAGAGTCGAAGTAGGATTTACCTGGGGGTCTCCATCTGGCGCCCCGAAGAAACACTTTTGAGACGGATCAAATTGATCCGTCTCAACGGCTTCCCAGACGGTCTTTTTTTTTGGTGTTCATAGTGACGCGTATTTGCTTACGCTGGTACACTACCACACCATTCATCGCTACCTTGTTAAAGCCAATTTCCAAAGGCTCCACCAAGATATATTTGAACTCATCGAAGAAATATTCCCTCTCCTCGTTAAACTGCGTTCCAGGGAGCCCAGAGACTACCACTGGCATCCAAAGGTAGCCAGGTTCCAGCTTCTCCTGGAGATCAGGCGAATCTTCACGCATGGAACCAGTATCGATTTGGACGATCTTCAGCAAGTCTCCACGAAGGTTGCGGTAGACCCCAACAGGGGGCTGGTTTGGCCAAAAATCCCAGATCAGGTTTGAGTAGGCCTCGTCCTTCTTCTTGCGAATTTGAAGCTCACGTTGTGCAGCCATAGATTCTCCATGTTGTCTTTCTCCGGGATTGGGATACTTGATCTTTTGGTATCTGGCAACCATTTTGATGGCTACCAGGATGTGCTTGATGTTTGCGAGTGGCTTAGTATAGCTTACTTGAAGGCGGAACGTAAAGTGCTTGACTTTATTCTCGTGTTTGTGATGGAGAATGTGTAGTGGTTGTTGTTGTTGTTGTTGTTGTCGTTGTGTTGGTGCTTTCGGTGGTGTATCAAAGAAATTTCAATATTAGACTTGGTGTGAGTAAGATTGGTAGTTACTGAAGAAAGGAAAGAGAAGGAAAGGAGGGAACCTGGTTCAATTTATACGACGAAAGCCCCCGTAGGTCTCTACAACACTTGATGAGTCTTCTCAACATGATGATAACAAACTTAGGAACAAACGGGGCCTACGACGCGACGAACCACCGCATAATCATGACTACCAAGGTGCGGGTGTAGCAAAAGGGAAAACAAATAGCCAAAACCCCACCTTTCTCAGTCGGCTTGAAGCGCAAAACCAGAACCGTATACCTCAGCAAGTAAGAACATTTCTCATTACTCAATCCGCACTAAAAACGCCAGAGGGAGCATACCTAGGTAGCGAAGACCTCGATGCTGGTTCACCAATACGCATTGTGTGTACCCAATAAACTCATATAGCACCCCAAACAGATTATTGAACGTGGTATTATGATACTGCCTCGCCCGGAACTGTTCAGTCTTGCGCTTTTCACGTCCTCATAATCATGTTCAGCGCGTCGTTGTCGGCATTTTAAGACGCGACACAGTATACATCATGAGAACTATAGTAGCAAGCTACAACAAACTAGGCATGCTGTCCAACGTCAGCCAAAGAGGTTTGCCAATCAATGTCATGTTTCAGGCTGCGAGTAATCTAGGTATGGCGGACCAGAGATGTGATGTTCATATGAACCAAGAGCATGTGGACCAAACTACAACGTCCTGAACCGGAGCCCATCGAAATCATATTAGGCTTATAGTGGTTAATGCCACAACCAGAACAAGCTGATATTATTGGTCATGAGTCAGAGAATCTTCCTCCTATCCAGATACCGATACCAACGCCAGACGCTAAAATAGACCATGGATGATAGCAGCCACGCCGAACGCTATGCTAAACTGCAGAGGATAAAACTAAATGGGTATCATGGCAAATGACACGGAAGAACAACAATAACAGCAACAACAACAATAACGACACCACTGGCACCACCACCAAAGGCGCATGTCTTTACCTCCTAGCCGGCGGTGATAGCAACCCGCTGTCAATCGTCTGTCTCTTCATGTCTTCCTTGTCGCCCAGCAGCGCCTTGACTCTCTCCACCCTGCTCACAGCCTTCTCCAGACGATCCAGCCTCCCCATCTTCTCCCTGTCCCTGCGTTCCAGAGTCTCAACCCTCTCTTCCAACTTGGCTCTCGCCCGTCTCTCTTCGGCAACCATTTCGTTTGCCTGACTGAAAAGCTGAACGCTCAGCTCTTCAATCTCCGAATCCACCGTCTGTACGCGTGCTTCGGCCTTGGCGCGTAGGGCACGCTCGCGCTCCAGCTCATTCAGTAGTGTATAGTCGACGGGCGGAGCGCTGGATGCTTCTTTGGGTGGCGGAGGCGGAGGCATAGATGTCGCATTGGCGGGCGACGGGAAGCGGCTTGTGATGAAAGAGAAACGGGAGGCCTTTGTGGAGCTTGACGTTGTGGGACGTGGGGGATCGGCGTCGACGGAGGGGCGAGACGTTGCGTTGACGATGTCGGATTGCGAGGTTTGGGTACGGGGCAGCCTAGGGGCGTTGTGGGGGGTTGCTTGGAGGCTGCGTATCTGGTCTTCGTAGTCGGCGCACCTGTCCACTGTGGGTTGTTAGTTTGGCCTGGTGACGGCTAGCGCCCACGGGAGCATACCAGCTGCGGTTGCTTTCTCCTTTAAGCGCTCCATTTGTGCCTCGAGCTCGTCTATCCTTTGCCTCGCGTCTTGGAGCTCTGTCATGGCTATACTGCTGCCACACGAAGGACAAGTCGGCGTATGCGCATCGTTTGGCACGTGTTTCGTCGGTAGTGGAGGCGCTGGCGGCGATACTTCGACTGTCGCTGCCATGACGCCGGTCCGGTGGGTTTGGACGTTGCGATAGTAATGTTTCGATTTCTCAGTTGACAGGTCTCGGTGGTTTGAGCAAGAAGAACAGGGAGACTGTGGGGTTTGTGTCGTGGCAGTGAATGACGGAGTTTAGCTGGCGCTTGTTAGGTTTCAGCAGTCAAGTGATGATCTCAGATCCCTGCGTCAACTCGCCTCGGGAAGGTCATGCAGGGCACGCGCGCGATACTATTTTCGGACTGACTAATAGCTGACACCCGCGCCCATCACTTTGCTTTTAGCCCTGTTCATGGCCATGCACGTCATTGAGTATTCCTGTCGACTGATACTAACATCCAAGCTACGCAAATGACGCCTTGTTCTCCTTCACCCACTCTTCAAACTGTGTCGGCTCCCGTTCCGTGTACCTCCTCACATTCTCCGCGGCTTTCTCATAGATCTCACTATAAGCGTCGCTTCCCGCGTTGCTTTCTCTCATCCCCTGCACCAGTGTGTCGAGTATCGGCCTGGGAATGTAGCCAAACTTCTCGAAATACCTCTCCTCGTCAATCTCTTTGATCTTGATCTCTTTCCCCAATGCTTTGCTAACAACACCAAAGCCTTCACGTTGGTTCATAATCTTTGGACCGCACAAATAGATTGACTGTCCCGCTTCTTTCTCAAAACGTGGCACTGTGAGAAGTGCACCACACACCGTGCCGATGTCTGAAGGGGCGAGGTAGTCATACACTACGTTGGGATAGAGGAGCTCGACTTCGCCCTTTTTAATGTCCCCAAGATTCCAAAATATGTTGGTGTTGAACCACGCAGGTCGTACGGCCGTGTATGTGATGCCCGTCTCTCTCAGTGCGCCTTCAGCCGCGGCGTGGAAAGCGGCTATCTTGTCCTTCTTGTTGGTATCCGAGGTTAGGGGATCTTTGACCTTGAACGAAGACAAGAGTACAACATATGTTATACCGGACTCCTTCAGCGCTTCGAAGCTGCGTCGCATGCCGTCCTTGATCTCATGTACGACATACACAAAGGCTGTCTTTGCACCGGACGTCTCGACGGCGTGTTTGATCGTCTCGGGCTTGGCTAAATCAGCTTGAACGCGGACGTAGTTGTTTCCGTCTCCTTCAATTCCCTTCAATTCTTTCTTCGTGTCCCGCATACCGAGATAGACTGTGGCACCGCGCCTATGTGCTTCAATGGCAGCAGCGCCACCCACCCCTCCAGTGGGGCCGAAAACGAGAACTGGAGAAGTCATGACAGGTTATGGGGGTTGAGTGGTGGTCTTTCGAGTGACTTGATACGATATGAAAAGTTGTCGCATTATCATAGCCGATGTTGAGTTACTTTATGTTACCTTGGAGGCATACTGTTAGGCGTGCCGTGTCGGCGTCCGCGGCCTGCTGTACGGTATCTCGGTGACCCGGTATACCAATGACAACTGCGACAAGACCAAGTGACTAGTCGTGTGCGCTAAATACGAACAGATGATGAATAATACGTCTACCTTTAGTCGGCATTCTAAATTTCCGGGTCCCCATTTGCGGGCAAAGATAGAAAAAGAAGGTGTCGGTGTCGACGTCGATGACGTCAGGAGCGTAGAGATAACCTAGACCACATAGTACCCTCGGGTAATGTGTGCAACACGATATACTCTCTTTCTATGATATCTCAACATTCTGTTTTCTTACTGTGAAGATCTAGACCTATCCTCGTACTAAGAGGAATACGCGCACGCATTGGTGGCTAGCTGATCGTACCACAGGCCTACCAAGAAGATAGTCGGTTTTTTTTACTAGACAGAGTAAAAGTGACGATAGTAAAGTACCTAGTTTGTGTCTTGTGCCTGTTTATGATGACCTTTTCTCCAAACAACATGAAAGACACGAAGAATAATAATAATAATAATCATCGGAGCGCAGGCATCAATGAACTGCCACAGCTAGCAATACGCGTTATACGCTCTGTCTGGCACCTGCACGCTATTCCTGTCGTCACTACGCACCTCATTCACAATCGTCTTCGTAATCTCACCCTTGCCAGGCTGCACAGAGTCATCCAATATGTACTTCTCGCTATCTCCGTCATCAATATCGTCCCGCTGGAATCGTGAGCGACCATTCTTTGGTCCACTGCCAATCGTAAACTGTTGGCTGGCGTTGTATAGCGGTATGTCGTTACCACTGGCTTGCGCCTTGGATCTGGTCACCATCGAAGAGAGAACATGTCGGAAGAATGCGTCGAACTGCTTTCGTAGTGGAGGCAAAGATGCGATAAGCACGCCGACTGAGAGCTCGGTTGCAGACCAGATGGAGAGGTAGGTACCGTCCCACATTGGATCCCGCGTCTTCATCAGGGCGGAAAGCTCAACGGTCTTTGCAATTGAACAGGCCGTTGCGCTATCGTTTGGGTCAATTGATATGAGTCAAGGTGTCGAAGAAAGATGCTTACGCTAATCCCAGTAAGAAGACGATGCGAAGACCCCACTGGGTACGCTTTGGTAGTTGGATACTTGATAGGTATATGATGGGTGCAACGACGTATATCACATCAGTGATACAGTTAGCAACTCCCTGGTTCCTTGTCAATGGGCCATATGCAATGCAATTCGCTTGGTGAACGAACCTGACTGTACGTGAGACCTGTTCCAAATTTCATGAAGCACTTTCCTTTCAAAGTCTTGTTCCAGTTCGCCTCAAATGGCGTGGTACAGAAGCATCCCATGAGAGGCAGTATCATGTTAAATGCAGTTACCATCAGAATCGAAGCCCATATCACCGTGAGGTATATGCGTGAGAACTTTAGTGACAGGAGGAGGGCACATATGGAATACTTCAACAACCCCACAGCGAGAATGTTCAATATTTGTCCAATCCAGAGAAAGTACATATACTTCAAAACATCGTAGGGTTTTTTGATACTGGGATCTGCCATATGACGGCCCTGACCATGGTAACAGGTTCGGTAACGAAGGCCCGTTGTCACGATGTTCAGCATCTATAGTCAAACTTGTTAGGAAGCCTTATCTTTTGTAAAAGAGCTGCTGCAGGTGACGAACCGTAGCGATTATGAGGAGATAATCGCATAGTACAAGCTTCCGCTTAGCCTTGATACCGTAGACAAGTCGCCATATAAACACTGCGGTACTTAATACGCACAAGATGGTGGTAGGAACAAGAATGTTAAGAGTTCGGTCTGGCCAGTCTTGTTGCTCAGCGAACGCCATGGCAAGTGTCGAGATATAGTAGATGAGATGCGAACGCGAAGGAAGAGAAGTGATGTCGGTCGTAGAATATGCGTCGAGAGGCACGCTTTATTCCAGCCTCTGATCCCAGACAAGTCATCCAGTGTCCCGAAAACCCGAAAGGTTCGCTAAACCGCTCATATACCATGGTAGTCGATCAAAGACCTCTTGGCAAATGCTCATGCGAGCATAGGGATTCGTTCCCATCAGTGGTAGGGTATCCTAGCGCTGGGCATACGGTTCACCCCAGACATTTTTGCGGTTTCCGGGTTTGCACCGAGATGCTGCAAGGGCTCTACTATTCATGTACTAGTGCGGCGTGGCAGCTCCCGTTCCACAGTTTACGTGATAGAACCAGGCTTAAGTTTATGATGATGGTGACAAGACCTCTTCACATTGTCGTCAGGATGCCTGTGTCGACCATCTAGAAGGTGAAGTGAGCAGCAACATACTCGAAGTCGCCTGTTTGGAAATGGCTTCAGGTCGTCCATCATGAGCCTGAATGCAAACTCTGTTACTCAACAGCCCACGAACATGGTGCCATAGTCGTAACATGTACTGGTTGGTCAATCTTCCCACAATCCTTCGAGGAGCAGGAGGCGGACACATGTGATAACCGCGCAGGCTGAAACTACCTAGGTATGCCGAGTATTTTCTACTTGTTCCCGACCAACGTTTGAAATTTTAGAAATCCAGCCTCAACCCTGTGAATGAATTAGTACGTACCTCTTTCTCCTGTAGCTTGATCCTAATGCTTGTAGTAGTATGCGGGAGCATGCTTCCGCTCCGCATTGACCTGCTTCAACCGTTTCCCCAACCAATGCTTGCTATTTGCTTCAACATCCAGACCCGCTGGAGGCTTCTACACGCTCCGTCGCCCTGCATCGCAAATTTCGCAAGCGGGGCTCGGATTGTCGGCTGGTTAGCCAGTTAAGCTCCCGCCGTCCCGTCCCATCCCGCGCTGATGCTGACACGAAAGTGGCTTCAAGATCTGCGTAGAGTAACCGGCTAAAGAAGTGTACTGATAGCTATTGAGAATTACCAAAAGACCGTTTGAGACGAGAACTACTGTGGGACCATTGGCAAAGAACAGAGTCGCAGAACCTGTGGTCTGCTACGGTGGGTCCTCGAGCTTAGCGACAGCAACGCCGCAATATAATCCTATGAACCACGCTGCAATCCTACAATCTTTCGTGCTCTGATACGACTCGATAGGCATTCAGAAGATGCCGAAAAACGTGAATAGTCATAGCCGATCGTACCAATGAAGCGTGTCGTGCGGAGATTTCCCCACGCCTCTCTCAGTTCAAGTAGTGCGATTGTCGCTCGAAAGCCGAGGTGTAGAGTGTGGATAGGGATAATCGTATGTATCAGATCTACCGAGCTAAGCTAAGATGGGATGATACCCATATATACCCCAGCGACTGCCGTCCTTGGCATTATGTGACATGAGGTCTCTTCAAGACGTAAAGAGTCTGCGAGGAGAAAACCCATGCTTCCAAACAGTTGGGAACGACAAGAGTACCGAAAGTTAGTAGCAATGGTTTCTCGTGTCATCCTCATATAGAGCGTATTCTGCAATTTCGAGAGATTGTTGATCATGCAGGGGGGTGGTGTAGTTAGAGAGGACTTTCTAGATCCGGCAGAGTGCCGAGCCGTCAGGCCAAGATCGCCTAATCTCGGAGCCATGCTATTTCCAACAATGTCCTGTCCCGAGCCATGCACTTGCAAGGAATTAATGTACCGCCGGGCTTTAGAACATGTGGGCCAGATTCTCAGCTTACCTGCCAAACGTGTCGGGCCTTTGCGACCGATGTTTGCCATACCGGTGCGTCTACTCATGTATACATACAACTCATGCACGCTCAAGTACCGAAGGAAGGCTAGGACGTAGTACTGATATTCACGAAGATGTTTAAGAGCGCATGAGATCCCTTCTTTCTCTACAGGTGCATCTCCCCTTGGTCTGAATCACTTGTTCACCCTGGTTGTGGTTTCGCTCAGAAGCCGTTCGTCGATATGTTTTCTCCCCGGAATTTAGCCATCGTTATTCTGGTGGGACTCTCAGTCGCCCAAGACACGTACGACTATGTTATTGTTGGGGGTGGAGTCACTGGCCTTGTTGTAGCCAATCGCCTGACCGAAGACAAGAAAAGTAGGCCAATGTAACCGATTCAGATGTGTACGAAGCTAACAGTATGGTCTCGCAGAATCTGTACTCGTCATCGAAGCCGGAAGAGCAGACGACAACCCAAATATTCGTATGCCTTATGGCGCCACGTATTCCCTCAACACCTCTCTTCTGTGGTCAGACTATGTATCACAGCCAGAACCATATCTTGGTAACAAGACATGGAACACTCGTGTCGCGCAAATCCTCGGCGGTGGTTCTTGTGTTAATGGGATGCTTTATGATCGCGGATCAGCGGCGGACTACAATGCTTGGGAGGCGTTGGGCAACAAGGGTTGGGGATGGGAAGGGATGTATCCATACTTCAAGAAGGGAACGGAATTCACCCCACCTCCCGCGGAAACAGTCGAACAAGTCGAAATTACTTGGGATCCCGAGGCGTAAGTCAGCAAAACACTTAGTAGATCTGAGCTACTTCTAACGTCAGTGACTTGTAGATACGGAAAGGGTCCATTGAAGCTTGGCATCACCGACACACAATACTCCGATATTGTTGACTACTTCGCAGCCTTCGAAGGCACTGGTGGCGCATATGCGGCTCGCGACGGTAACAATGGAGAGGCATACGGCACCTCATGGTACCCCAATACGATGAATCCCAAAACTGGTGAAAGATCGCACGCTCGTAACTCATACTACGACCCTGTGATGAGTCGTTCGAACCTGAAGGTCGTGCTACAGACGTTGGCAACTGAGCTCGTGTTTGACGGTGACAAGAAGCTCACAGCAAAGGGCGTGAAGGTCACTGACAAGACTACTGGCTCGTCGACAACTTACTATGCGAAGAAAGAGGTCATCTTGGCCGCTGTACGTTTATCCTGACATACTTGTCTCTTTTCCTTGCAGAGTGAACATATACTGACCTTGCTTCCACTTTTAGGGTGCTGTAAATACACCAAAACTTCTCCAGAACAGCGGTGTCGGACCAAGAGCTGTACTTGAAGCTGCTGGCATCTCTGTGAAGCTTGAGCACGACGGCGTAGGTGCGAACTTCCAGGATCATCCATACACTGGTGTTGGGTTCAACGTCTCCAACGTCAGCAGCCCGAACGCGATGTCTTTGACTACAGACCCAGCATACAACGCTTCTGCATGGGAGGAGTACCGTGTCAACAAGACGGGACCGCTGACTCAGGCCCGTGGCAACAGTCTAGCCATGATGCCACTTCCTGTAGTGGATCCTGAAAACTACCGCAGTATCGCAAACCGAATCCGTGGCCTCAAGAACGACGAGTATCTGCCATCGATCTACAAGAACAATGCGAAGCTGCTTAAGGGTGTCAAGGCACAGCGCAAAGTAATCACCGAGATTTTCGAGAACGAAAAGGCAGCTGTTGTGGAATACGGTATTCCGTCATCAGGTGGCTACGTTCTCGTCGGTTTGGAGAAGCCAGTTTCTCGTGGAACCATCATGATCAACCCTACCAACCCTCAAGGACCGCCAAGAATATTCTACAACGCGCTTAGTAACCCAGTTGACAAATCTGTGCTTGCTGCATGTGTCCGCTATCTCCGTAAGGTCTGGGCAGGCCCTGAGCTGGCAAAGTATACCCCGGTCGAGACGACGCCGGGAGCCCAGTACAAGACTGATGACGAGATCATCAACAAGTCCGTTGAGCTGGGAAGCGTTTGGCCAACTCTTTCACACCCATCTTGCAGCTGTGCGATGTTGCCTGAAGACATGGGTGGTTGCGTGTCTGAGAAGCTTCTCTTCTATGGCGTCAAAAAACTGTCTATTATCGATGCTTCCATCCTCCCTCTCATTCCTTCTCAGCACATCCAGGCAACTATGTATGCTGTTGGCGAGAAGGCAGCGGATATCATTAAGAAAAGAGGTTGATTTGACGGAGGTTTTGAGCATGCTGCTCATTCATGTTACACGTTCGTACCCTGAATTTGATCAGTTATACAGCAATAGCAAGGTCGCCTGATACGTGCCTCAGGTCGTCGTGATCTCTATCATCGCCACCGTGAGTAGAAGTGGTGTGTTCCAGTAATTTGTATTTCTAGACTTTAGGTCCAGCATGTGCATTGCAGAGCAGTATAGCAGGGTGTCTTGTGAGGTCCTTCCGTAGTCAATGTCGAAATGGTGGCACCAGGCATCATTATGTTTCATGCCATGGGCTTTTGGACCACCTGGTAGGTTTGGTAATAGGTATACGTTGATAAGAGAAGAGGATCATATACATGCTAAGAAGCTCATGTCTGTTGACGTGTTGGGTCAAGTCTGAACAGGAACGAACTTATCTGCGAAGCGTTTGATGGGCGAAAGAAGAAGACGAAGGAGAACAGCACTATATAGCATCGCATTGGCTCTTGTTCGGAATTCTCCCAAGTCCTGATGGTGTTTGGCTCTTCGATCATAGGCTCACATTTGCATGCGGATATGTACAATAACGTCCACAGCTACCCTCTATGTTAGTAACATATGCGATCCGCTGCTGAGTAGAAATGTCGCATATCCATCGAACGTATTGCGTGCACGTCATCACCTTGCACATTCAGACTACGCCTCTAAAAGACCCCCCATCGATAGCACCGCTTTACGCATTACTCGTACTTGTCTGACTATTGTACAGGATCTTTGGCATTGCAGCCTTTTCTCAGATCGTGGTATCATTCCACAATACGCGCCTCGCTATGCATGTAAAGAGACAAACTTTTGGGAAAACAAACAACCTCACCATTATTCGCCATACCGCACCGTGCGCATCACCCATCACGCGTGCGGTACGCACCTGCTCAATATATGTCATCGTCGATCTCGCCTTCGGCATCAATGTCCTCCTCGCCTTCAGCATCCACGTCCGCGTCCGCCATCTCCACGTTATCAATGGGCACACCCGTGGCCTCGGGGGTGTGAGATTTGCTTACTGTCGGGTCTGGAGTTGGTACTTGCTCGGTTTGTGGAGTCGCAGAGCCGGAAGGGGGTATGGTTTCTGACCAGTTCTCCTCTGCCTGAGATTGCTCAGAGTTGAGGGCTTGGTGTATGATCCTGTACTGTTGTTTCGGGTTCTTGAGAATCTCGCGACTCGTGCTCGTCTCCACGGCGCCAACCTCCGGATCATTCGCATCGCCTTCTTCCTCGACGGGGGCAGCGTCAGCGCCTGTTACCTTACGCGCTTGTAACGTTGAGTGCCTCAAGTTGTAATCGACGCGCCAACGCTGCTTCTCGTGGTTCTTCGCTTTACGCTTGACATGCTCGCCAAACCAGTCGTCTTCCGTATCACGCAGCTGGTCGCCGAATGCAGCCCAAAATCCGGGAAGGGTAATGTAACCGCCGCCAACCGTCTTGGTGACTACCTTGATGGACTCAAGCCAGTCTAAGACAAGCTGAATCTCAAACAGCTCGGTGGTATGCTCAGGACAATGGGAGTGAATATCGGTAACAGTCGCGCCAGCTAAGAAGATTAAGGGCTGTAGCACCAAGTTCAGAACCCGGTACCACCACGGCCATGTAACGGATTGGCCGTCAATACTGCTCCAAATGGGTAGCAGTGCGCCAGCATCGTGTTTGCCAGGAAGAGGCGGCTCAGGTAGAGCCCGCCAGATCGCAGGCTCATCCTGCATAGGCGAGAGCGGAGTGGACAACGGCTGCAGTGGGTTACCAAACTTGTAGTCTGCTGTCGGCACGACATGAATGTCCCAGAACAAACGGCTTCTGTCTATAGCTCGGTGGTTGTAGCCGCCTTCGCAAAAGCCCCAAACGGACAGCTTTGGGAGCGAGGCGTCGAATTCGTTGTTGACAGGCGGTAGCTGAGGAGCTAGCTTAACTGTCCCCTCGTTTACCATGGTCATGATTGCTGCAAAAGCGCCATCTTCTTCGCAGCGTGACATGTTGTAAAATCTCTGCCCTGGATCATCGTCTGCAAACGCAGCGTCCATCTTTTTCTTGATCTTGACGGCGTTCATGAAGTCGTCGAGCTGGAACAAACGTGTGTACTTCTTCGCCAAGGCTTGCGTGAAATTATAGTTGCGGCCGGGTAGGAGGCGCTTGAGCTTGCGCATCCTGAGATGCTGCTTGTCCACGAGATCACCCACAACATTGACCAATACAGTCTCACCAATGTCTTTAAACTTCTCGTGTGCCAGGTTCGCATCATAAAGCGCCTGCGGTGTAGCTGTGTTCGCACGAATCCATGATCGTGCCTTGAGAAGCTTATCGTCAGGTGACCAGATCGCCTCACGCGATCGATGGAGTGGAGCAGTAAAGGATTGTTGTAGCTGAAGCATTGTCCTCGTTCGATCTGCTGTCGCAGCTTTGTACCATAGCACACGATCTAATATCTCGTATTTTGACTCATCAACAGTGAACTGTTGCAGTGCTTGCCTCAAGACGGGGAGAGGAAGATCTGGGTAGGCACACTTTCGCATGGCCCATCGTACCAGACCCGTCCAATCGTGCGTCTCAGGATTCTCAATAGCTGCGACTTTGCCAGTTTCGTAAGCTTCAAGATAAAGCGACTGGAAGGTAGTGGTAAGCTCAAAAACCTGCTCAGACATGTGCTTCTGCATCCAGTCCCAAAGCTTCTTGGTCTTCGCCAAATCGAAGAATCTGTTACTGTCGTATATCCTCTTGAAAAGTCTCCAGTCAATCTGCCCGTCCTCTCCGGATAGAGAAGAAACAACGATGAAAGTATAGAAGAGCTTTTTGAAATCATCCAACGAGTCCGTAGCCTGAGCATACTGCCGTTCCTTCTTGAACCTGTTGATGCGTATCCTCTTCCGCTCGCTCCATGACCGAGGTGATTTTTCAGGTCTAGGTACACGCTGCGGGGGCTGGTATATTGGATCGTTTGGATCACCAGTTAGACCAGTGAGGCGTTCCAATAAGGTTGGAGGAGGACCCGGCTTGCCTCGTTGCCGTCCATGGAAGTTTCTCATCCTTCGCTTCTTCGTGTTGGAATGTACAGCGTTGTCGCTGCCCTCAGACTCGTCGTCTATCTCCGAAGCAGATCGTGCATCATCATCCATACCAGGGTGATAGGTAGATTCCACATCTTGCGTTGTTGTAGATGTTGCTGGGGTGGTACGGGTTCTCTTCCTGGATGACTGGTCGCGCGGAGCTATGATCCGTACTCGCTTCTTGCCCTTCTCTACGGCAGCAGATTCGTCCGCAGACTTCCCATCAGAGGCCAGGGGACCAGAGTTTTCAACATTGGCAGAATCAGGCTCCGCAGCAGTCACATTGTTGGAAGATTCTTCGACGATGGACTGAGTTACATCCAGCGGGATCTGTTCATCTACAGCGTTGCTTTGCGCCTGTTGCGCGACCCAGTCAGTTACTTCTTCATCGCTCTCATCGTCTTCAGGCGGCTCATCATCGGAAAGTTGCTCGCGTTCCGGAACAGGCGCGACGATGGGTCGAGTCCAGATGAGCGAGATCTGTCCAGATTTGGCGGCAGGTTCATCATCTGCCACGTCGTCGGAGTCTTCGTCAAAAGCTCCCATGCTGGCAGCATACAGAGGAGCACGACGTAGCTTCTTGCTCTTATCATTTAAACTAGCAAGTCGCGCCCGCTTTGTATGCGGCCCACCGCTACTGTCTCGAATCTGCTTAGAAGATACTTGTTCGACCTGAGCGTTCTGGGCCTTGCGAGCCTTGGCCTCCAGCCTTTTCTGTTTCTGCCATATGCTGCGCTTTCGAAGCTTGGCTTCAGTGATTTGCTTTTCTAGCTCAGGATTTAGCTGATTGAGAATGATGCTCTCATCCTTGGGAGCAGCTTGGATTGGTTGGTATGATACAACCTCGCCGATCAGATCGCGGATCTCCTCTGGGTAATACAAGAGTGACTTCTCTGACACACGGTGAACGTTTTCTTTTTGCTGGGAGTATTGCGCCATGTTGTGCGCCAACTTGAGGACCTCAGGACTTCTCTCGTTCAGATGTGCCCGTGTGTACATCCTTCTGGTCGCAGTACCTGGCATGTTCTTGTGCTGCGAAGCAAAAGTCCAATGCTTCAGCCTGAATCGCGGGTCTGCAGACATATTCCTCAGTGTCTCGGTAATGGTGCTAATTGAAGGCTCTGCGATATTTGGGTACGTTTTTTTCCAAAGCGTAAGAAATGGTCTTGACATCTCACCACCACCAGGGAAAACACCATGGCATGTGTCGATGATCTTCTCGATAAGCTTTTGCCTCAGCGCGCGCTGAGTGCCTGTTATACCACCGGTTTGAGCTTTCCTGGGCTTGGTGCCTGGAACACTAGGTGCTGGAGTCTCTACAATGAAGCTATGAATGGCATCGGGAGGGGAAGTGCCGGTTTCGGTCCCAGGAGTAGGAAGTGGCGGTTCGGCGATGCTGAGGGTGGGTTCTTCACCAATCTGGGTACTAGTCGGAGTATCTGGTGATGGACGAGCTTCTGAGCCTACAATGGCAGCATAAGGGCTCTGATAAGGTGTCGTGCGGGAGCGCTCAGTCGCATTGATGGGAGCCCAGCCGCCTACTATGCGTGGTGTTGGTGAGACTTTCGGTGGTGACCGCCTCGGTGCAACTTCAGAAACAGCGTTGACCTGCTCTTCAACGATCGTGTCGGTTGCAGTTGTTGCCGGCTTGGCGTCCCTGTCTTCAGCAATAGTGGATTCGGGTACGGACGATAATGCTTCTGCCCTGCTAACCTCGTTGCCGACTTGCGATGCTCCACATTCCGACAAAGTTGAGCTTTTGGTAGGGAGAGATGACACTTTGTGATCCACAACAATCTCCTGTGACTCTATGACACTCGGTGACTGGGGTTGCACTGAGGATCGTGACCTTCTTTCAGCGAAAGGCGTTTGTCGTGAACCAGAAACCTCCGAGTTGACCAGTGAATGCACCTGCGTGTGTGCCTCGGGTGATATCCCGACTGGAGGTTCTCGATGCGGTTCGACCACGTTATCATTCTGCTGATCAATGACGATGCACCCAGCTTCAGGAGTAGCAGTAGGGTCAATTCGGTCTACGGCCTGCTCCTGAACCGACTCCAATGTAAACCATTCAAAGTCTGCTAGACGCGGTAGCTTGAAGGTGGCCATTAGAGCCTTGCGTGGTCGGCCTCGAGCAACCTTCTGCTTCATATAAGGATTGAGAAAGAGACCTGGGCCGCGTCGTTTCTCGTACTGGTCGAAGGCTATTCGAGCATGGGCATCCAATTTCGAGGTATCGGGTTGAACATATATCCTCGTCGTTACATGTTTTGGAGACTGTTTGGCTTCTACGCTTGGGAAGATAAAATCTCTTACTGGCGAAGGTGTTGCCAGGACAGGTTGAATGGCTTGCGCCGAAGTCGATTGGCTTGTATCATCGGTACGGCTTTCATCTGGACAGGCCACTGAAGTACCGTCTTCCAGTGGACTTGTTGCATCAGTGGGCGAGGGAGACATTGATGTCATAGATCTTGAGGTTGACCTGTATGGTACAGTGTCTCTGTTACGTCGCCTCTTTGACGTCTTTGGAGTGATGACAGAGTCTTCCGCCCTTCGCTTCCCTGTGATGATATTGGACGACAGAATCTCAGCCTCGGGTTCCACAGCGGCAGGATTAGGCGTATATTCGGCGTCCGGATTCTCCATAGACACATCGTGATCCTCTGTTAGGGTGGTCTGCTTCGGGATGGGTTTAGCGCCCTTTTTCTTGTCACTTTCCTCTTTCCTGCGCTTCATTTCTGTGTCCCAGCTCGCAATGACTTTTGAATCTTTCACGGAGATACCATCTTCGCGCTCTTGGCGTAAGCCTTCTATGATCGCTTGCGGTAACCGACCATGATCTGTCCAGCCCAGAGCTATCCTCTGCGACTTGCTGAGGACAGTAGGTTCGCTCGTGGCTTTTGTCACTTGCTTCTTCTCCTTTTTCACCAGCTGGGGTAGTCCACGTTTTGCCCGAATTTCGTTCTCTGTCGCGATACCCAAGCGCCCTTTGGCTGCCAATCCTAGTGCCAACCGCTCCTCTGTTGTCAGCAGTGGCTGAGGTAGTTGACGCTTTGCTCGATTATCCACAATCGCATCAGGCAGAGAAAACGGGTCACCTGTTTTCTGACGATGGGCGAGGATTTGGGCCTGGACGCTTTTGCTCAACCGGGCATCACCATCAAGCCCTAGCGATGTCTTCTCCTCAGGTGTTAGCATGATAGTCGGGCGTTTCCTAGAAGCTTTGGGGGCTTTCGACGTCCGAACGGGCTTCTCTTTGGTGACTTTCTGTTTCTTGATTCGACCTGGTGTTTTGACTTTCAGAACGGACGTTGCAAGTTTCTTGTAGCCGGCCTCCTCCGCCACTGCGTTATCCCATCGTGGACCATTCTTCCGCGGTTTCACGATGGCTGAACCCGCCTCAGATAGTGTTGCCGAACCGGTCTCCCGAACCAAATCTTCCGCACTGACAGTTGGAAACCCCCACGCATCCAGGACAAGCTCGTTATCCGAACTCTGACCAGGTTCTTGAGGCACCATAACACCCTCCCAGACAGCTATCTTCGCCTCGACAGCTTTTTGAAAATTTTCGTATGTGCGGTAGAGGTAATGAATATACTTTTTGGGCTTGGTAGTACCCGCATCTCGAATAACTGCTAGGTGTCGTAGATGAATAGGTTGTGTCTTCTCCCAGTCGCATGTCACACGAACTAAATATGACTCGATCGGGCGCCTCCAGAAAGGGCCAACGATCCGATTGCGCAGAGCCTCAGCGTCCCAACCCTGAGCACCGCCCAGAGCCGTGGCATTGAAGATGATGTTAGGAAGAAAGCGGTCGGGTATCCACTGAGGAGGAACGCTATCAGCATTATTGGCAACCGGCTTAGCATTGACATGGTTGTCCACATTGGCGTCTGCGTCGTCTGGCATATCTGCATCGAGATCCTTCAACAGCGACTCGCCATTAATATCTTCATCTGGAAGCTCGTCGACCGAGTCATTCGGAAGGTCAGCTACGCGTCGAAAACCAAGGTTCTTGAGGTCCTCCTCCTGGGGTTCGCGCAGCACCTGAATGCAAGTAATCCACTTGTCGGAAGATGCCTTCTTGAGAACTCTACGTCGCTTAATCATTCCGCTTTGATCGAGTCGGATGAGTGCGCCCTGCGTAGCTCGTTTGTTCCATCGAGACATGGGTACCTCCTACTCAATGTTAGAAGCTACACCATTGCATAAGGGCAACAGACTTACGAGCTTTTCCCTGATTGACCGCGTGGGTACAATACCACCTTGACCAACAACGTTATACAACAGTTGAGCGAAGTTCCTAACCACAAATGTACCGTCCTCTTGATACACGTCTTCCATGGCACTAGACTTGATAAAGGTGTTCTGAGAAACAAACTTGGCATGGATGCAGAGACTAGTGCGCATCTTGTTTGACTGAACGGAAATCTTGGCGATGTAGTTCTTGCGAGCCAACTCGTCTGTTCGTTTAGGGACAGACCTCTTGTCTTGCCCGCTGATGTTGATCAATTCAGGTTGTGTGATACCAGCCGCTCCACGAGCAGCAATGAGAGAAAGCAATACGAATTCCATGCTGGGAACCTTCTTCAAATCAATACCGTGGCCTGTAAGCGCCTGCCAAACTCTGCTTTGGCTGGCATACAAGCGAGGGGCAGTGATACTAGAGTCGGGTTCATCGAAGGCTTCCGTGGTGCGAGACGCTTCGCTTGGTAGGTTGCGAATTGGTCTTGATATGGGCATGTGAGCTAGAGTATCAGACGGCAGAGTCACAAGTTCTTTCTGGTCGTATCCGTCTTCGAGGATGCGTTGGCGTAGAGAGTCTTTTAGACCACATAGCGCTTTAGAAGGCCGCACTATCCCCTTGATTGTATTGGTGGGCGACTGGTTCAGGTTTGTTGAATGCGTCTCTCCGATCGTACCGGTCTCATGTAGCTCAGCCGCTTCGAATTCGGAAAGAGTGAACTGACGAACCTCCTGCTGGTAGACTATGCGAATATCGGAATGATTAGTGAGCCATTGCCATAGGCGCTCATAGAACGCGCGGCCAAGCCCGGTTGATGGAGCATCCCTTTGGCCATTCCTGCTGGTTGCAGGCTCATCATTGTCGACGGCCTGTTTGTAGAAGACATCAATAAAGTGACGAAAGTCTGCGCTGCTAGCACCTGAAGACGCGTTAGTACCCAAGAAGTGGTAGATTGATTTCGAAAAAGCGACGCTATGAGCAGCGCAACGGCCAAGATGACGGGAGCGCAACAATCTCACTTCCCAGCCAAATTACGTTGTAGCTCATGGAAATTGACAATGTCGAGTAGCTCGAAAGGGCCAGTGCGCGGATGGAAGCAACAACTACACGTGCAACGAGTCATGCATACCTTGTACGCCTCGGAGTGCAATTTCTGACAGCAGAAATTCCAGCAGCTTGTCGTAGCCCGTCGCCATGGTGCTCTCACCCGTCCCCTTTCAACTCGGGCAGCGTGATGCGAATACAAGGAAACGCGCTTAAGGCATGTCAAAAAGTGGCGAGGCGGCGATTCGAACGCGCACTGTGGAAGATGCTAGGGTGAGATCGAGATGTGAGTGGCTGCAGCTGGTACTGGGAATGCCTTGGATCGCGAAAGTTGGTATCGAATGTAGCAAAAATTCTAACGCGCTCTTGCGGTAGATGATGCAAGCTGTTGATGGCGGGTTTCGAACGCGTGCAAAAAAAGATTGCTGTCGAATCGGTCGATACTCTGGCTGCTTAGCGGGGTTGGGAGCTGCAAAAAGGCGCCTAAGAGAGAAAGAATCTTGCCCCGCGTCGGGTCTTGGCAACGCGGCCCGCGCTCACGCTAATTGATATGGTAAGTGCACTTATCTGATAGCTGTCGTCCACGTCTTCAACGAAGAGAACTGCTGTTCAGTGAAGCGCATCTATGTCCGCGCTACCTATGGCTCCGCCGCATTCATAACATCGCTGTCTTGGTAGACCACTGTATATGTTCAGAGCCAGAAATTGTAGAAGATGAACATTTTCAAGCTCCGATAACACTCCGTCATGTCCTTCGTCTCTCCCTTCGGCACATCAACATCGAAACCCGGCCATGGATCCATCGTCCTCGAGATACTTCCTCCGGATAAACCTGTCCTTCGAACTGTATCCTACCAGTATCCCCTTAAGCTAGTTGCGCCAGATCCGTTAGCACCACCCAACTATGACAGAGAAGTGGACCGCAATACAACAACAGGAGTACCTTGCCTCATTCACACAGTCTTCCTGTTGACTTATGGTGGAGGAATTGTTGCTGGAGATAGCATAGATTTGGACGTCAAACTAGACAGTAGTACACGGCTGATACTGTTGACCCAAGGTTCGACTAAGATCTTCAAAACCCCAAGTCCAGACCTAGTCTCCCGACAGCATATGAACACATACCTCAAGCAGGATTCTGCGTTGGTCTATCTCCCGGATCCTGTGCAACCTTTTGCACACACAGCGTTCTCCCAGTCTCAAGTCTATCACTTGGAGAAAGAGCAGGGTAACTTGTGCGTTTGCGATTGGGTGACGAGTGGCCGTTCAGCACGAGGAGAAAATTGGGATATATATGAATATAAGAGTCGGAACGAGGTGTGGACTGTAGGTGATGCAGGGAAGAAAAGACTACTTCTACGAGACAATCTCATTCTGAACAAGCATGGCAAGACCGGAATGCCACTCGCCTCTCGTATGGATAACTACTCCGTTTTTGGGACTTTGATCATTCGCGGTCCAATCTTCTCGTCAGTAGCCAAATTCTTTCTGGACGAGTTCGAGGCACTACCGCGTATTGGAGGAAGAAACTGGGGCGACGTCGTGCAGCCTGAGCTTCAAGCACACGAGCAGAGGCGATACGAGAGGCAACAGCGAGAGGGGAGTGATGGCCTGGTATGGAGTGCTGCAAACGTGAGGGGTTTTGTTCTGGTCAAGTTCGCAAGCAGGGAAGTGGAAGGATCACGGAACTGGTTAAGGGATATGATCAAGGAAGAAGGATCCCTGCTAGATGCATTTGGGGAAAGGGCGATTCTGTGTCTAAAGTGAGGCTATGGAGCATTGATACCCGGGTCCAGGTAGATCTGTCGACGAGAAAATTTGTCACATGTCGTGTCTCGATGCTGTCGTGTTGCATGTGTTGTCCATGTACTTGCAGCCCCACGCCGAGGTGCTTGGGCCATGGCCGCCAACCGCGTACCAAAAGTCGATGTGTGACGTGCATAGCCGCACCTCGAACGCTCGTATAACCTTCGCAACCACCTAGCCTGTCTGATCCTATGCTATACCAAAGACCTCACGTGGTCTTTTTGTCGTCAATATGAGCGGCAGGCTCGTCGCGGGCCGCCTTTCCACCATCGCACGCCGTTCACCGCTGCTCACTCCACGCTTCTACACGACGCATTCCCTCCCCGCCGGTGGACTCCTCCGCAATGAAGCCGGCCTGCGGCTGGTGAAGCGACGACCATGGCCGCTCGGTAGCTACGCGCTGCACAACATCCCCGCCACACGGTCCATCTCTTTTGCCAGGGTGATACCAAAGCTGGTGGGCAAGTTCGCGACCGTGGGTGCGGCTGCTGGAGGGGCTGTCGTCGCAGGGGTTTCCTACATCCAGTACCAAGCCGGCCGTACGTATACAGGAAGAACCATCTGCATCGGAAAGCTGACATCAAACAGAGGCGGGAACATTCGCACTCGATCTCTTCCACCGAACCAAAGACGGCGCGACCGAATTTGCTGGCGGCGCCCTCAGCACGGCAAACGGCTTCTTCGACCAGCTAGAAAAGGGCTTCAAGTCGACCAAGGATGAATTTGAGGGCGTAAAGGCACCAGAATGGCTACAGCGATTGCTTGCCAAGGACGAATCTGGTGGTGCAGGAGGCGACAACGGTAACGGCGGTGGCAGAGGCCCAGAGAACCCCAAGCAAGGTGGTGCTGGGACTGCTGCTGCCGGTACGTCAACAGCAGCAGCGTTTGGCTATTCTCAGGAAGACGACGAGGACAGGCCGCAGGCGGAGAAGATCGCAAGAGACGACCAGATGATGATGCTCACTAAGAAGATGATCGAGATCCGCGGGCTTCTACAGACGGTAGGACAGTCCGACTCCCTCACACTGCCGTCTATCGTCGTTATCGGATCACAGTCGTCTGGAAAGAGTTCGGTCTTGGAAGCCATCGTCGGCCACGAGTTTTTGCCAAAGGGACACAACATGGTCACACGACGACCTATCGAGCTCACACTTGTCAATACGCCAGAGGCGCACGCTGAGTACTGCGAATTCCCTGCCCTCGGTCTTGGAAAGGTCACAGACTTCAGTCAGGTACAGAAGACACTGACAGACCTGAACCTGGCTGTGCCGGCGAGCGACTGTGTGTCTGACGACCCTATCCAATTACGAGTCTACTCTCCCAACGTTCCTGATCTCTCCCTGATCGATCTGCCCGGCTACATCCAAGTCGTTGGTCGAGACCAGCCCCCACAGCTGAAGGAGAAGATCTCGCAGCTGTGCGAGAAATACATCAAGGCACCCAACGTCATTCTCGCCATCTCGGCAGCTGACGTGGATTTGGCCAACAGCACCGCACTGCGAGCGTCTCGCAGGATGGACCCCCGGGGCGAGAGGACCATTGGTGTCATTACAAAGATGGACCTTGTAGATGCTGAACGTGGTGCCAGTCTGCTCAGCGATCAAAAGTATGCTTTGCGTTTAGGATACGTCGGTGTTGTTTGCCGAGTGCCAGCCGGCGCTGGTGGTTCCAAGCTCTTCAGTCGCGGCAACGGCAACATTACGAACGCGATTACGAAGAACGAAAAGGCATACTTCGGCTCGCATCCCGAGTTCTCGGAAGGATCAGAGCTCGCCGTTGGCACTCAGAACCTTAAGAAGAAGCTCATGCACGTGCTCGAGCAGACAATGGCTGGCAGCCTCAAGACAACAAGCGAGGCTATCCAGAGGGAGCTCGAAGATGCACGTTACGAGTTCAAGGTTCAGTACAACGAGCGACCTATCAGCGCAGAGTCATACCTGGCAGAATCATTAGATGCTTTCAAGCACTCTTTCCGTGGTTTTACTGAGCAGTTCGGTCGCCAGCAAGTCCGCGATCTGCTGAAGCATGAGCTTGACCAGCAAGTGCTTAATTTGCTTGCACAACGCTACTGGAACAGGCCTTTCGATGATCTCAGCGTTCCCTTCCCCGAGACTGATCCTCTTACAAATTTGGCCAAAGCCGATATTGATGGGGAAGACCAAATTTGGCAAATCAAGCTCGATAGCTCGAGCGCTGCGCTCACCAAGGCCGGTGTTGGACGCCTGGCAACGAACGTTGTCGCAAGCGCACTCCAGGCACACATCGATCGCCTCATCACGAACTCTCGCTTCGCAGCTCATCCATTCGCCCGACAAGCCATCACTGATGCTTCAACCTCCATCCTTAAAGATCTTTCCTACGACATCTCTGATGAGTTGGAAATCTGCATCAAGCCCTACAAATATCGCATTGAAGTTGAGGACAATGAGTGGGCAAAGGGCCGGGAGAACGTCACTGCCGTGCTCAAGGATGAACTAAAGACTGTTGAAGCCGCCGTTAAGCAGCTCGAAGAACAGGTCGGTGGCCGCAAGAGGGTCCGGGACGTAATGTCATTTATCGATCGCGTACGCAGCGGACAAGTTGTCCTGGAAGGCGACGGAGTCGGTGGTGCTGGTGGCTTCAGCTCCGCACTTCTTGCCAAGGGTATGTCTATTTTATCTGTAGCAATAGCTTGTTTGTATTCGAAACTGACAAAATCACAGGTCGAGAAGCAGTCTTCCTCCGCGATCGTATCGACGTGCTCAAACTGCGCCTCATGGCTATCAAGAGCAAGCAATGCGCCACCAAGAAGAACAAATACCACTGCCCAGAAGTCTTCCTCGATGCTGTCGCTGATAAGCTCACGACGACTGCTGACCTTTTCCTCGACGCTGAGCTCTTAAGCAAGTTCTACTACATTGTAAGCAATAGCCTTAGTCCTTGCTCACACAACCATTATTGACGATATTATAGTTCCCACGTGAGCTCGATGCCCGTCTAGGTCGCGGCCTCTCCCAAGAAGAAATCGACCGTTTCGCCAAGGAAGACCCCAAGATCAAGCGTCACCTTGACGTGGTGCGTCGCAAGGATCTCCTCGAACATGTGCTCAAGGAGATGGAGGGTCTGCGTCAACTAGAACAAAGAGAGAAGCGCATGATGGGACGCGGCCGAGATGACAGATATGAGAGGGATGAGCGAAGGAAGAAGGGCTGGAGTATGTTTTAGATGCCAGAAATGACGGAGTGGCGAGACTTCTTGCTGGGTATAGACTGTATGGCGCTATTGGCGTTGCTGTGAAGCGAAAAAAGCAGCTTCCTTGTTGATGTTGACGACTTCGCTACTCTGTTGGTTTTTGTTGGATACGTATATATGACTCCTTGATTACGCTCTCATCATTCGGTCAAATAAACACACACGTATGATTATCCGATGTATAAGAAAGATGGTATTGTTGTCTCATCTATCGGGTATCTTCAGCATATTCCATCAAGAGCTACGATGTTGCAAACATAAAAAGGATTCCCTTGTAACGCCGTACATGCCACATAAATCATGTCATCATCTCCACTCTCGTCCCATCTTCTTCTTTCACGACACTGTCAATCAAACAATCAAGCCCCAGTGTCGCTTGACACCCCAATCTAACCTTGTCATACCCTGCAGGTCATCTCCATTCAGATATCCGACACCCTCTTCAACAAGCAGCTTCCATACTCTGTTCCGAAGTCCAATCGGAAACTTGGGCGCGCTCCAGTACCTCGCCTGTAAGCCCCTCTCTTTTGCACTCTTGATTTGCGCTCGGATTTTGAGGACCTGGGCCTCCGTGATGCGACCGAACCACAACGTACCGATCGATTTACCAAAGTTGACAGAGGCGTAGTAGGAGTTCGTGCTGTCGAAGTGCGAGCTAGGGGTTGTGCCGACCGTACCTTGACCGCCGCGCTGGCCAACGGAAGTGCCTTCCTCGAGCTTGTCTAGAGGGGCGTCGAAGAAAATGTCGCGGTAGGTAGAGTTCGCAGTGATGAGATCAAAAGGCGCATTACCAGTTGCAACGACGGTGATGGCGCCCTCGATGGTGGTGTTTCCATCGAAGTAGGTCAGGTAGCCCTTCTCACGTAGCGCGGTGAGCTGCTGCGACACTACAGGGAAGATGTCATGGCCGTTGTTCTTAAAATCCACGAGCAGGACTAAGGTCTGTGCGGGCTCAGTGATGAACACGCCATTTTTGACGCTAGACGTGGTCGCAAAGTCTCCGAACTCGTTTCTGTGGTCCAGCATCTTTACCAGAGGATCGACATACATCGACGTGAAGGTGCCATCACGCGTCAAGGCGTTAGTGTTGTGACCGACGTACAGCTCCTCGTCGAATAGCCAGACATCGGCTTCTACGCCTGTGCAACCCCAACGTAGGGCGTCGTATAGCGGAACTCTGCGCCAGTAGTCATTATGCGAGTGGCATTGGACCGGAGTAACGTCGCGCGTGACGTCCAACAGATCCGACTTGTCGTGTTGGCTCCAGTCAAACGTAGAGACTATCTGATCATCCAAGAAGGTAGGCACATAGCCCAGGAACACATTAACAATGTGTAGGACACCACTAAGATAGTCAGCATACCGATGCTTCTTCCTGGAGAACATGACAGGATGACAGCTGCACAAATGCCGAGTGGCTGTCGAATGAGAGGCTGACAGGATATCTCGCACCGGAACCGGCGGAAGCTAATGTCTGACAGGCACTTACAAGAAGATGAGCACCAGCAGTGGTATTATAACACAGGCTCTAGCGGCATGTTTCTTCTTCAATCGATATTTCTTCGATTGCGTCTTTTCATCCGGTAGCCTCACACGCCCGAAATCCTCGTCAATCCCCGACTTCCCATTTCGCCTTCGAATGCTCATTTTTAGCCGTCGCCAGAACCCGGGCCGCGCACCTAACTCCTCATCATCAGAACCGAAGATCGAGATGTCACCATCTTCTAGCTGGCGCAAGGAGACATGTGATGATTTTGGATCGAAGGAAGCCTCCAAGTCGAGAGAGATACGTAGGAGAGGTTGAATGGTGGGGGAGATGGGTGTTTCGGCGGCCATTCTCAGGCACGAGCCAATTGCAGGCGGAGATTTGGCACGGCCGCGATCCTAGATCCTAAGAGGTGGGGCAAGTGCAAGCGATATCGATATGTGCGGTGCACTTGTTGTCAGAGGTTGCGACGGAAGGTTAAGACGTTCAAAGGTCTTCGCTGGAGTTTGCACCTCGAAACCAAGGCGCACGCTGCCTTAAGACACCTTCCTCTTCGACTGTCGCTCCCAGACGCCACGAGTTGTTGACTGGCGATCCAGACTGCCCAAGTGGCTATTGTCCCGTCCTCGAGTTCGGGGGAGGCTAGACTGGCGCGATGCACCTCCGCGGTTCAGTGCACAAAGTCGCGCAAACGCAGGGTCCAGTTTCTTGGGTGAACGTCTGCAAGTTCCAGATAATGCTTGGTAGAGGGAGTGAGACTTTGGAGCAGTCAAGATCAATTGGGATCCGACGCTATTTATTGCGAGACGAAGTGTGGCCGGCCAGTCCACCTGCGAAACGAGCTGCAAACCGCGAAGATAGAGTGCGGGCTATCGACATGCAAGCCTTTGAGACAGTCCCAGCGCCCAGCTGCGTTCGAGAACTGGTGCACGGCCTGGTGAGCGAGTTCGGGCACGCAACACAACCTGCGGCGATGATTGGCTGCAGGAGGAGGAGAGGCTAGCAAAGTAGCAGGTGAAGGTGGTAGCGGGTGATCAAAAAGGGCGATGATTCCAAAGAGCACGTTGTCGAACTTGCGCACTGAGTGGTGTATTTGAGTGAGTGACGGTGGACTGGTATCGATAGAGCCTTCCCACGTTGCACCTCCCTGGACGTGCGGTTGTCATGATATCGGTCCGAAGCAGTCTCAATGGGGCCCAAATATTGCCATTGTTGCGAAACACTGCGTCTGGTTTTCATAGCGTCGTCGTATTCCTAGAAGTGATAGTCTGCGTGTTGCGCGTCTCCTTCGGAGCTTATTGCGTTCCAGTTTCCACCATGGTGCGGCAATTTCGAGCACTCTAGTCGGAACCTGCGCCATAGTCTGTGGCTTGCACATGAGGCGGTAATCCGGACGTTTTAAGCAACGTCAAGCACCGGCTCGGTATGCTATGCCTCATCCTACAGCATCTCGCACAGCAACTCCACACGCAAAAATGGTGGGGTGAAGCCTGGTTCCACGTGCGCGCGGTGCCAAGATATCCGAGCCCCACCTCTCCGATTATCCCTGTCGCGTCTCCGTAACTTTTTTGCGACATCGACATCGACGCATCGCCGCTTGGATTCCCTGTCGCATGCGACACTACAGCCAATATCCATCATGCCTCACAAACACAGAGCCATAGAAAAGGACGATTCGCAGTACGTCACCACGTATTCTCGCAAGCCTAACCAAGCATGGACTGTAATCTGACCTATTGCCAACAGGTTCAATCTTCCGCCCGATGTTCACGCCGCTCCTCTCCCTGTCGGCAAAGCGCGCACCTTCAGCACAGCACCCAAAGGCAAGAAGCGCAAGGTGAACCAGATCGATGGATATGGCGCGGACGACACACCCAAAGCCTTCCAACGGCTCATGGCGTTCTCCAAGGGCGGAGCAAAGAAGCGCTCCGGTCTCGACGATGGCATGGTGAAGACCAAGAAACAGAAGAAACAAGAGGCAGCCGAAAACTTGGAAAAGGACGAAGCGAATAACAAGAGTGAGGAGCAGACTCAATCAAAGGATGTGCTGAAGATACAACCCGGAGAGTCAATGCAAGAGTTCCGCGCTCGAGTCGACGCAGCGTTGCCCTTGTCAGGTATAAACAAGAACGGCAAGAAGATTGCAGGTCTCAGCGATCACAGGGTTACCAAGCACGAGCGGCATCTCAAGCGTCTACAGAAGGGATGGAGGGAAGAAGAAGCCAGAATACGGGAAAAGGAGCAGGAGGCTAGGGAACTGGCTGAAGAGGAGCAAGACGAGTTGGATGCTATGTGGGAGGATAAGACAGCCGACATAGAAACTACAAGAACGGTGAACGGCAAGAAGAAGAAAGCAAAGAAGAACAAGCGCAAATTGCTAGCGGGTGAGGTAGACCATGGCAGCGAAGACGAGTGGGAAGCTCTTAAGAAGAAGAGAGAGGAACGCAAGGGCCTACACGATATTGTGCATGCGCCACCAACGTTTGACAAAGTACCGAGGGAGATTTTCAAGGTCAAGAACGGAGCGGGTGCCAAGGTTGGAAACGTGCCCAAATCAGCCGGTAGTTTGAGTAAGAGAGAGGCACTGGGCGAGGAGCGTCAAAAGATGATCGACACATATCGTCAGATGATGGCTGCGAAGAAAGAAACGCATGCTTAGTTGGTGCATTTCGGTTGAGCTTGAGATACCCTAGATACGTAAATGAACCACGTCATGCTTTGGATATCGAATATCTCCCCTAACCAGCAAACATCATTTTCTCCACCACTTTCACGCCAAACATCTGAGGCTTGATGCTTTGGCGTCCTCCTACACAGGCAAATCAGTAGCTTTGTTGGTCGTAGCAACTCTCGATTCACTATGCCTCCTACCCCTACCTGCAAGTACAGCTGTGTTTCTTCACCAAACACTAACCAACTCTTTGCTTGAACCTTACCATGATCGAGAGCATGCTTGTCTTGAAACCCCTAATGTGGTAATGCAAAAAGCCAATCATCGATTGCAGCAAATTGTGAAAATATTTTGTTACAATCACAGAGTGTATTTCCTGTTCTAGCAATACCAGGAAATCCATTAGGAGCGACTCTTCGAATGCTACAAGAAACATTGACATTGCCTATTACGGTAGGTCTGAATATCCGTAGAACACGGCGAGCAGTGAAAGCAATGGTGTCGTGGATAGCACAGCGGTATCTCGCTGGAACCCAATCGGGTAGGTTGTACACAGCCGTCGAATGCAGCAATTTGCTTGACAGCTGATTTTCGCGAACCCTGAGTGGCTAGGCTGGGCGGGTATCTCACGTGATATCACACTTCCCATTGTGGTAGGTGATGTGAAAGCCGTGGATGATGGCAGATTTTGCAAAAGCAAAAAGTCGCGAAGCCAAGGATCAGGAAGTGAAAGTGGGGCGACATGTGACAGTACCCGGCAGCAGACTTCGCTTGGCTCTTAGTCGCGCCTTTCCACGCCACGCATTTTCACGTGGAATCTATCTCAAATAATAGGGACTGAATCTACTTGGACAAGAGATTGGTACTCGTAAATACCTCAGCATGACGCGACCCAATAAGCTAACATGCGTAATGAAGTTTGAGTATTATAGCTGATCGACAGCAACACGCAATCAGAGAATCTACGCTTGTGTGTTCTGGTTCCTAATATTCCGCTACCAAATATGTTTCTTGTGACCAACGTACAACGTCTTCCACTGTTCAGTCACTATTGTTAACTCGCGAAAGTGTTATCCTCCATGATAGTTTTTCGTGACAATGGTCCCAATATGCTAGGTGAGTTCGAGACGCATGCACATCCGTCCGAAACAGCAGTGCCTACAACAAAGGTTTCTATGAACGCGACAGGATGATGTGACGAAGGCGCAGCGAGGAAGCGATCCATGGGATCCATATTTGCGAGTGTGTTTGGCGTGGCCTTTAGTTGAAGTATCGAATGATGGTAGGAGCATGATAATACAGGTGGGCGATTCGGTGTAGTATGTGCTGAACAGTTAGCATCAACGTGTCCTTGGTTGATAGAGAAGACATACCATTGTTAACGGCAACTGCAACAGGACCTAGTCGGTTGATCTTGGTCGAGCGCCGTGGAGCTCGAGTCATAATTCGTGATAGATAATGTGGCGGTGTCTTAATTGATGGAAGCTTTAAGAAGTTCGCAGTGAGGCAGTATTATCACAATAGTGGAGAACTGCATGCAATTGGGGTGGTGTTGTTGTTGTGACGGATAAAGGTAGTCTCAGGATGACACTCGATCTACGAGGCGATTGATATACATAACAGCATGCGGAAACGTGGGGTTGCAAAAGCTGCGAAGCAAGCCACGATCGGCGGTTTAGAAGTAGTAAACTAGTCAATGCTTAAGCAGTGCGCCTTGATAGCAAGCTGTTGTGGTGGGAAGCTCGCATGGCCAGTGAGGAAGCGGTATCTGATATCACGACGTTGAGAAGCCAATGGGGTCCAAGTAAGCAGACGACGAGGAAGCGTAAAACCATCAAGTGAAGGTAATGTGGCCGCGGCCTCTCGTTGGTCGTGTTGGCTGAGAAGTGAACGGTGGACAAGAGAATCGAACCTCGTTCCAACTGGATTTGAAGGATATCTGGGGCGACGGCCAATTCGTAATGGTATCCAAAGGCGGTCATACCAGCACTTTCCATTTAAGGAATAGGCTGACATGGCGACAACCATGTAACCATGGTGTTTTCCAAATTTGGCATCCCATCTTTTCGAAGCGTGCGCACTTGAGACTGCTACACTAAATGGGCAAGGCTCAATGATCGACGCTGGGTTGTTTGATTTCAGGCCCCCTCTTCAGAACGGCGTGGCTTGACCGATAACTTCTCCTGCTTGGTTTCCTTAGACGCTTGGCCCGCGTGATATCGACGCACGGGCATGATGATATAACCCAGCTCTTTGGTCCGGCACCAGCAGCATGGCTCATCCGGCGACGTTTGGGGTATCCCACGTGGGTTGTATGCTCATTCTCGCCCGGGAAAGAGTAGCAATCCCGAGTAGAGGTCTGTTTGTAGTTCCCAAGAACTCTCGTAGGGGGTTTCAATCATGTTTTAGAAATTTGAGTCTTGCGAGAAGTCCTTGTGATCTTGGCCTCGCGGCTGTCAGTAGTAGGCGAAAAAACTTACTGTCAAGTCGACTCTTACGTGACGAAACTTGCAAAATCTGGAAGCTCGACCAGAAATGAGCACAGAAAAGGAGAGCTGGTAAGCCAAACCTGTATTGCGCCTTACCAGGGGCAGGAGTGTGATGTTGCAAGTGATGCACGCATTCTGTAAAAGGCTAGACTTGGGCGCTCTTCAGCCTTTCGGCGTCGATGCTTGTGACACTACAATAGTAACAAAGAGACTATTATTGGCAGCGTTGAAGATCCACCGCAATGCACAATCGCTACACGAGGTATGTTCCGCGATGGCGGGTACGGTACGAGAACAGTGTCTCGTTGTATGTGGGGGGTTATGACGATGCTCCTGATCAGAGCTCGCGTGCGTACGGGTCTCCACAAACGGTAACCGTCCTGGAGAAGCGGATACCCCACAAGCGTTGCGTGGGGGCACAGGTCAACGTTGATTACATTGTGTCGCTACATTGGCAACTCAATGTGCGTGCTGCCTGCCAAATTGTAGCTGGCAAATAGATAACGCAGGAATTATTTGGCCGTGTAAACGTAATGAAAAAGATAGGGGGCGCGTGATAGGAATAGAGGATATGATTCCAGCGAAGGAATCGGCGAGGGTTCGACGAAGGAGCGGCCAAAAGGTGTGCAGAAGGCTGACCCCAAGGTTTCAGCCCCAAATCCTTGTGATGGGTGTCAGCCTAGAGTATTTTAGCCGGAATTTACATCAGTCAGGTACGCGCTAGGGACAGATATCTGATTATAGAATGAGCCCGATGGCAACCAGCGGCCGCACATAGCTGTTGAGTAGGGTTAGAGTAATGGATGGAAACCTGCTGCGATTGCTAACACAGACCAGCCGGCGGCGGCGGAAGCGATAAGTGATGCTACAATCACATGCTGACAAGTGTGCGTGGAGACATGACGGGTGGAAATGATCTTAGATAACTGTTGTCGGTGATGGTGCAGTACAGGCGTACAGGCTCTAGAAGCAGGGAAGACATATAGCGATTTCCCGCGGTCTCACGCACTTAGCCAACCGCTCAGGCATTTGCGGCACAGTTTAGAGCACTGGTGTGGAGTCAGGATTTGTCGAATACAGATAATAAGTCTGCGACGTTAGCAATGCACGTGTGGCATATGTCAATGGCTGATGACAGATGTGCGGCACGACGCACAATACCTCGTCAACCATACAGTCGTACCCAAGAGCCTCAACGTCGCGCAGAAGCATGGTGAGACAAAAGGTTCGCATGTGTCGATGTGCAGCTTTGGATTGTTAGAGACTTGTCAACGTCTAGGTGTGTCCTCCCGACTGCCATCGCTATCGATATCGTCATTAGTGAGCCCGAAGGGGAAAGGTCGAGCGCGTCACTGCCATCGCCGCGGCTTTAACATATCCAGCTCCGCAACTCACCACTTCCGGGTCTTTCCTCACGTCCGCCCAATGTCAGCCAATCCAGGTGCACTCAAACGGAAGCACTCGGGCAAGACCATCAAGGAGCTCTTCACCACACAAACCAAGCCGAAGCTCGCCCCTGCAGCGCCGCTATCGCCCTCCAGCAAACGCACACGACGAGACAGCTCTCCGATAGCTAGCACCGAGGTCGCCACACCTCCAGCCCCGATGGCCAAGATGAGCACAGCCGACATGTATCATTTCCCGAGCAAGAAGGCGGGCGTATCGAGCAACGCCGATGTTGTTGACATCACGTCAAGCCCCGACAACAGTCCTGCCAAAGCAAACGGCCAGCGAAATGGCATGCGCAAAGCAGCGCCCAATATGCACGCCAACAGCGGCCCCAAGCGGTTGGTCGTCAAGAACTTCAAGCCCACAAGGAGAGTAGACCCCAGGGTGTTCCTGGATCAAACATGGCAGAAGATCGACAAGGCCCTGGATACTATCTTCCGCCAAGGCGATGTCGACTTCAGCCTCGAAGAGCTGTACAGAGGTGTAGAGAATGTCTGTCGGCAAAATATGGCAAAGGACATCAAGGAGCGTTTGATCACAAAATGCAAGGACTACGTGGGCGGAAGTCTGAAGGCAAAGGTCAAGGAGAGTCTGGGCAGGCCAAACGTTGACATACTACGAGCGGCATTGCATGCCTGGGGGATTTGGAACAGTCAAATGGTCAGTCAAGTTCATGCTGAGGAGGACGCTGGCATACTGACAAAGTATAGAAATACCTCGATTGGATCTTTTGCTATCTCGACCGCGCCTACCTGCTCCCACGACATGAGTCTCTCCGCGAAATCTCGATAAACCTCTTCCGCTCCGTCATCTTCGAACACGCAAAACTAAATTCCCGCATTGTGGATGGCGCTTGCGATCTCGTCACTGCTGACCGGACGGGTCGAGACCTTGACAGCGAGATGTTCTCCAAGACGGTCAACATGTTCCACGACATGCAAGTCTACACACATGCTTTCGAGCCGCGCTTAATGGAGGTCAGCCAGGAGTACGTGGTCAAATGGGCTGATGCGGAGAGTTCTGAAAAATCGTTACCCGAGTACGTCCGCAGTGCAAGAGCGCTGATGGATCGTGAGATGAAGAGAGTCGACATGTTCAGCCTTCCCAACACTACTAAGCGAGAGCTTCTCACATTACTAGAGGACCATTTGATATCGAACAAGGAGACCCGATTA